ATAATTTTTTATGTCATGCTTCAGTTGAACATTCAGTTTGTAGTAAATTTAAAACATATGATGCAGGATTACCACGAGATACTATCAAAATATGAACAGGTCTATATTCTAATGCAAGGATGAGAATTTAAAGATGTGGTGTGTTAAGTTAAATAATGTAATAATGAACAAATGCAGTAAAAAGAAAAACAATAGCGATCTTGCAGGTAAAGCTGATTAACCCCTTAATAACACTAGAACTGCCTTTCCCACGCCAGTGAACAAGCAAGAACTACTTCGGTATATGCAGCCGTTTTGTTTGCGCTAATGTGTTATTAATGTTAATAACAGCAGCGAATCGAACACTCAAAAAGCTGTAATGTTCATAACAGAGTGGCTGTTCTGTCCTGAAACTGTAAAGTTGGAAAATTTTCAAACGTAGTATGCATTTTATAAAATGTCGAATAAATAGACGTAGTTTATTGGTGGTCATGTTGGTCTACGTTTCCGCTTTTTAACAACTGTATAAGATTATTTTTTATACAAATCAATTCAGGGGAAACAAAAAATGTGTGTTCAGGGTTACAAACTCTCACGGGTTTGGGTAACACGCTTTCAGACTCTCACGCAAGAAATCTTATGGCAAATCTAAATTATCCCATTATGAACTTAGACTTGGCTGCATCAAAAACGTTAGGGCAGTTTGCAAACCCTACAGACCATTTACATGGTAATAAAACTCTTACATACACGTAAATGTATGTGCAGACTCGTCTCAAACAGAAAGCCTCACTCCAGGCAGCTGACCAAAGATTCGACTGAAGCGGCTTATCATTCCTTTGCATTGTTGCTCTGACAAATATAAAACGAAGGAGAAAACATTATATGCGTCACTTTTTTATATCTTTTTTTAAATAATAAGACCATGCCCATACCCAGCTGTAATAACGATTAAAGCGATCTGTTCTTTTAGTATTTGTGTTAAAGCGAGGCTTTCATTTTATTGCTGTTGTGGTATTAAGATTAATTTCACAAGATTAATCTATGGAAATCAATACTTAAATCAATGAGCACAAAAACATATGACAAACACAGCTGTATTATGGATTTTATGGAATTTCTGGGGGGGTCACAGACTCTGCTGCTGTGAGGATTACCTACCGTCTCATTGTTGTTTTGATGGGATATAGGCTAATGTGATTTCCCATTAACAAAAACAAAAGGTGTGATACGCTGAAGTATATCGTAGCTGGTGTTTAAAAGGAGCTCGCCGGTTCTACTGATGATAGGACCTTTCTGAAACAATCTCAGACCATGAAATAGGAAGGCAATTCACTTATAGCTCAGTAGCGGAATCAGTATTTTTTCCGCACTGCAAATGCAACATTTTCTTCGGGTTTCACATGTTTGCCGTTTGTGGGCGTGTACTATGTTGCCTCGGGCCACTTCTGATTGGTGAGAACGACTGTCACATAGGGAGCACGGTATGAGTTTGGAAAACTATTCTTCCAACAGTTTTAAACCCTGGGTCCGACGTGCTGTATAATGTATGTCCTAAATCGCAGCCTTTGCGATTTGACAATCGCGTTCTTTCAAATCTCAATTTCGATTTGAAATCGATAAATCGTTCAGCCCTAATCCAGGGGTTGATTCAGTCCTCCATATTTCTGTTCTTAAGTACTGGAACTGTACTTCAGCAATGGAGGATGATGTCAAACAAGTACAAGAGAACACGAATACGATCAAGCACGCATATCGATAAACCCCTTTACATGGCCTAGCCAACTCGGCTCTTGGTTTAGCACAAACCATCCCAGCTCCAGTCCTTGGAGCTCATGACCATTGCAACCAAACCTTAATGGTGAGATGTATAAAGGTTATTCTCAAGAACCAGCCAGGATCCAAAACATAATCAAGACAAAATTATTTAAGGTTTGTTCATCTCAAAAGTAAAATATTTAATATGGAGCCCCAGGCTGAAAAAGTAAACTCCATCAAGAGGAACGCTAAAGAATTAGCCTGACTGCTAGCTTGCAGCTAACAGACTGAAGATGCAGGCTGCTGATATCGCAGCGTTTCCTTGTGGGCTACACACTTTCCCTGCATTGTATAAAAGTTGTCCCAACATCCTGCAAGCTCATATCTCTTCCTCCATAGCAAGTGCCCCTTCCTCTCCCATCCAAGATTGAAAGAAGGTACATGAGGCTAATGAGGAAAAAACAAGACAAGGTGATATTTTGGGAAAAATTCCACCATTGAAGAGATTGGAGCTAGATAAACTGTAACACATACAACTGTCAATGAAAGTTACTGACAGGCCTATAGCCTGCCCCCCCCCGCCCCCATGTAGACAGGACAAACTGAACATGAGACGTGATGTGGCATCTCAGAATGAAGCTTTTACACAGAAAAAATCCTTTAAAAGCAGCATCTCCACAATGTAAGCAAATTAATGTATCACACCTGTCAAAGTGGGGCTTTATAGAAGTTTTGACAAATTAAGATGCAAAACTGTGAAGAAAACCAAAACCTGGATTTATATGATGCATGTCGTATGAGTGGCGCAAGCAAAAGATGCTTAGTTTTATTAGACCTATATTTATATTAAGGCAGCACTCAAATCAGGAGATTTAAAGGACTTCGGCAGTTTAAAAAAAAAAGCCCCAACAATAAAACTGTAGCCCAAAAACCTGGTCCAACATTCAATCGTCAACTGATTTGACATTAAAGAAATTTAGAGATGCACTTAAAAATGCAAAAGGGGTATAGCAGGAAGATGATCTTTGAATGCGTAATTTTGTTTTTCCTAGGGGTCAGAGAGACTTCAGTCTCTAGCCAGGACATCACAAGTGGACACCACAGATTCCCAGAAGATGACTTTGGGGAGTGGCCCCTTCCCAGTTACGGTTATAATATACTCAAAAATCAATATAGCCAGACAAAGAAGCTTTGATACTTCCTATGGCTTTTATCTGCCCATATCATACACAGCTGGGTAATATTTTTAACAGGGTGCAAACAGACCACAAGTACACGCTATCATTAAAAAGTCATTTGGCCTTCAACACCATACTTAAGGCACCCTAATAAAAGGTTTATTTATGCTTAGTAGCAAAAAGAACAGCTCACTTTTTGGGATGATTTTAATGCTCTAGTTGCATCTCGGCAACAGACCCTCCTTACCCAGCACCTCACACCTGCAACACTGCAAGAACGATGATTTAAGCTGAAGTGCAGTTCATGGGATTCAAAGGCTGCTTTTCGGCAAATCGCCAAGCTTACCAGTAGGTTTTTTTCAAGTCTTATCAATTAGGTGGTCAGCATTAGACAAACAGGGAATGCAAGAAGTTCTGAACTATAAGAAGGCAAAAAAGACAAAAGGAAATGCTTAACATTTCAAGCTCTTAGCTCACTTAACTGCTGATGAATGATCTATGAGCACTTTGCAGTTTATAATTTGGTAGGCAAATCACACCACAGCTGGGGGATCCAGACCAAAGCCTGTGCAATGGTTTCAACCACAAGTCAAACAGGAACAGAGTCTAAGGAGCGGATATAGAAGGTAAGCATAGTGCATCTGCCCCAGCACCATCAGCATTAATTTACTTTAATACTGAAGTGAAGCTCTCCAGTTAACTTATCTACATTAAGACAGAATGGCCACCATTCTCTGTTCTAGTAAAAACAAATCATAGGTAGATATGATTTCTAAGACAATGTCCTCATTAACAGAATAGTTGTCACATGCTTACAACCAAAATGCATTAGTTCTTGATTTAGGTGTTTGCACCAGAAAACATCAACAAGACAGCAAACAGGTCCAACCATTTTAAAAGGCCCAACCAGCAAGTAAATTATTCAGCAATGTACTTACACACCTATCATTAAAACCCATGCAGGAAGAATACAGCCCTTATAGCTCAGAGTGGTTTCTGATCATTAATATGCACACGAGGCTACACCAGACAGACCATGTTTTTCATACTTCCCCCACACCAACTGCTGCATCTTGATTTACAGTGAAAGCAACAACAATAAATAATTCACACTTTGGTACAACGAAGATATTTCAGCTAATAGCACAGCCATGAAGACTGCACTGTGACACTGGACTACTGTCTCGGCAGAGAAAATACCACAACCATAACCAACTGCCAACTGCTGCCTTTCCTATAACAGCCCCCTAACACAAGCCTGGTAACATACGATTTGGAAATACGACTTTATGAATAAACAAGCAGTTAGACTATTCCAAGTAAGAAAATGGGCCATTTCATTTAATGGGATAAGTGTTGGAAGTTGTACACAATTTCAGGTACATTACTATAGTTCTTTAGGCGTCAAATTATATATACACGCCCATACAGATACACACTATACACAGTACAAGCATACTTTAATATAGCAAGTATTCAGATTTATAGCCAAACAGACTGCATGCTTCATCCACTTTAACGAAGCCATTTGCTAGCTAATTTCTTTGCAAATGAATTAAATATAACTACGTGTTAATGCACTAACACAGCGTTTAGAGAAAATTACATCATCGACAGTCTTGACTGGGCGCTTGTGCACGTCGGTCATCGCGGTGCCTCGTCGCTTATTTGTGGATGTTATTTCTGTACCTTTACGCTGTGTATCTGTGAGCCTGACCCGATCTAAAGAAGTGAAGTTTCATTCGGACGGGAAGCCACAGCGAGCCGTCAGCCAAGTGAGCACAAATTCAATGTAAAACAACTACAATATTGCTGCGCTGCAATATCAAATAATAAAGTAACGCAAAGTCTTATTTTCCCTTACGGTCGTGACTACATTAATAAATGAGCTTGCTAGCTGGCGAGGGAGCCACAGTACTTATGCACGCATTTATTCGCGGTTGCGGTTAATTAGATGACTTAGCTACAGACTGGAAGCCCCGCGCCTGAAATGCGGGCTTTTCGAGCCGCAAAGCGAGTCACCCGGAGCGTCGAGCTGCCTAACGGCCAGCCGGCCGCACGCCTCCCCGAACCGAGTCCCAATACCTTGTCGGAGTCGAGGTCGGGATCGGCCTGGCACAGCCGGTACAGGAACGACTTGGGGTCCCGGCACAGCGTCTGCCGTGTGGTCAGGAAGTACGTGCCGCCCACGTTCAGGCGGACCCACTTGGAAGCCTCGCCGCGGCTCGGCACCTTTTCCCCCGCGGCGTGAACGGAGCACCGCCGGCAGCCAGAGCCGCTGCTGTCGGAGATATTCTCCGCCATCCCTGCGTCCTGCCTTCCGTTACAGGAACTGCGCTCGTAAGCAGGAAGTGTCCCTTATTTAAGGCCGCTCCCTCCTCCGAGCCGACGCGGCGCCACTCCTTTTCTTCCTTCCTCCCTCCCTCCTTCCATCCCTCTCTCTCTCCCTCCGTACCTCACAGGGCTTTCCCAGCGCCTGCCGCCCCAGCCTCCCCGCAGCTAGCCGAAAGACGACCTGCGAACATACAGCGGTTAGCCCAACTTTTAATTTAAAGGCGGATATACTCTTCATACTACTGGATGTATAATATCCTGGAATAATTGCTGTCATTCTTCCAAAAAAAATTATGAATAATTTTATCAAAATTGGGTCTTCAATATTTTCTTGGACAGCAATTTACATGGTCCCACAAGAAAAATGTGGAAAAATTCTAGGAAATGTAGTATAACGTCAAACGTAACGAGGTGACGCTTATTCCAGATAGCACACTAACTAAAATCAGACTCAAATCTATGTTAAGTTTGTAATAGGCCAGTTTTGTGCATTTTATCACTAAATCAACGATGGATTTTCAGGCTCAGTGTTCTGGAAATTATGTGCCAAGATGTGCACATACATCTTAAAAACTTCACGTGTATTGCATCGGTCATAAATGAGTAATAGCCATTTTCACATTTCTCATGTGGTTACAGACTTTTGACCCCCAACTGATCCAGTCCATGCTCATTGGAGCAGGCTGCTGGTTTCAGGCTGGTAATCATGCTGGAGACTGTGAAGACATCTCTCAGGTTGGTGTGGGTGAATATGGCCACGTCGGTGCACAACGATTTAGCTTGGAGGTCCGTGAGACTCTCAGATACACTAGCCTATATGGACAAAAGTATTGGGACACCTGGGAATTACACCTACAGGAACTTTTATAATATCCCATTCTAAATACATAGGCATTAATGTGTAGTTGGTTCCACCTTTGCAACCTTTGTGCAGGCCAGTCATGTTATTCCACACCAAACTCACTCAACAATGTCTTTATGGACCTTGCTTTGTGCACTGGGGCACAGTCATGCTGGAACAGAAAAAGGCCTTCCCCAAACTGTTACCTCAAAGTTGGAAGCAGGACATTGTCCAAAATGTCTTGATATGTTCAAGCATTAAGAGCTCCCTTCTCTGGAACTAAGGGGCCTAGCCCAACCCTTTAAAAACATATCTAGCCCAACCCTTCCAGCAAACTTTACATTTCGTGCAATGCAGTCAGGCAGGTTATGTTATCCTGGCATCCACCAAATCCAGACTCATCCATCAGACTGCCAGACAGAGAAGCTTGATTCATCACTCCACAGAACATGTTTCCACTGCTCCAGAGTCCAGTGGCAGTGTGCTTTACACCACTCCATCCAAAGCTTGGCATTGCATTTGGTGATGTCAGGCTTGCATGCAGCTATTCGGCCATGGAGGCCCATTCCATGAATTCCACCTGATGCACAGTTTTGGTGATGGTGTTAATGCCAGAGGAAATTTGGAACTCTGCAGTTATTGAGTCAATAGACCACTGGCGACTTTTACACACTGTGACCTAGGGCTGGACAATAATTCGATATCAATATATATCGCGATATAATTTTTTTCAATAACGGTGATACGATTTTTAAACACATTTCCGATATTTCGATATACATATATACTGTATCATATAATATACAGTATATGAATAATCAGCCTGTTTTAGTTTAAATGGAAATATATTATTGTTAATAAGCTGAGTCAGAGTTTTATTTATTTGATAGTTTATTTCACATTTCTTGTTTGTAAAGGCTAAATACAAATAAAAAGTGAACCTTATTTTTTTTTGTACTGTTTCTATTTTTTTTTTAATTATATAATTTTAATAGGAGGAGCCTGGAGGTATTATAGACTTTGCAAATTCAGTTTGCAGACATCCATTGTGTGTGTCCTCGGCAGTTTTTTCCTGAGGCTTTTTAATATTGTCCATATTTATATCGGAATTATATCGTATCGACCAAAATTAAGAAATATATCGTGATATAAATTTTTGCCATATCGTCCAGTCCTACTGTGACCCCACTCTGTTACTTTACGTGGTCTGCCACTTTGTGGCTGAGTTTCTGTTGTTCCTAAACGCTTCCACCTACAGTTGACCATGGCATTTCTAATAGGGAAGAAATTTCATGAACTGACTTCTTGCATAAGTGGCATTCTATGACAGTACCACTCCTGAACTCACTGAGCTCTTCAGTACAACCAGTTTTTTCACAGATGTTTGTAAACCTGACTGCATGGCTAGGCGCTTGATTTTATACACCTGTGGCAATGGGTCTGAATGAAGCACCTGAATTCAGTGATAAAGAGGTGTGTCCCAGTACTTTGTCCCAGTACTTTGTCCATGTATTGTATCTCAGGGGCATTGGACAATGCATAATAGATATGCATTTCAGATCAGTTGGAAGTAGACTCCCAGAGATGGGTAGTAATAAACTTAACAGCCTTTACTTATTTTGCCAGCTTGTGTGTCAGTGATAATATTTATCAGTCTACATTGACGGTAATGTAAGCATGATGATCTGGCAAACTATATTCCTGTTCAGCAGCCACAACTATAAGCAATCTTATGCCGTATTATGCATTTATACGTGAAAACAACACTTAAAACAAGAGCAGTTACCTTCAAATTTGTTGTTTTGATACGATTCAGGCATCCATTACTTAATGTTAATAACCGTCACAGAGATGAACTTCTGTTATGAGAAGACACTTTAAGCATGGTTTTGGTGTAGGATGCCAAAGTTGCATGTTATCTTATACTTAATGAATAATGACTTTGCCTCTATCAGCAGGGTTATTAACAGTGGCACACAGTCAGAAAAAAATAATACAGCCACAGTAGTTTTGTTCTCCATGGTACAAACATGTTCATTCCTCAGAGTCCATTTCTGTACCTTAAATTAGACTAAAACATACATATTTCTACAACTAGGGTACATATTGGTATTTTTTTTATGACAGTATGCTGCACTTGTTGCATAGACCATTTAAGTACTTTGTAGTTCTTTGTGTGTTAATGCAGACATCTTACACTCAGTTTATTGAATAGGATCCTGGACGTGTAATATATATCTGCCTTGACTCATTAATGAACATGAAATAGAAATGTTGTAAAAAAATTGTGTAAAAAAGCCTAACATACTTAAAAAGGTTATGCAGATTATATTAAGACCTGCAAAAGACCAGATTCTAGCATTTCACTTTAGTACCAAACACACTGCAAATCAACATGAAAATTCTGGTAAACTGAGCTTAAATTGTTGTGTGAATGAGGACAGATATTCATACAAATGCCTTCAGAAGCCACCTTTTACTTTGGAACGTGAAATACCACGCAGAGGAAAATACATCATACACCTGTCACCTCTCTGGATAATCTCAGATCAAACAAATCATATTTAAGTGCTATTTTAATTTATTAATGTGGATCTTTCTCCTGCATTCCTGGTTTTTCGTGACTGTCATTAGTCAGAAATATGGTCATTAAACCCAGTTAAGGGGCTAGGTGTAATAAAGGTGATCATTTATGGCCTAGTACATGTTTAAGCCTTGCCTAGAGTGCTCCTGGAATTTGTGGAGCTGTCGGGGAGAAAAAAAATGAACGGAAGAGAAAGTGTGCAGTTCCCAACATTTACATTAGGGGGTAGTGTTGTAACATTTTTTTTTATGGGAGCCAGAAGAAAGCATCATAGATAATTAGCATGTAGGCAAATATACAAAGGACAGGAGACCATATAATTCTGCCTAAAACTCTACATGCTTTTATTACAGGACTACCAAGCAGTACGTGGGAAATTCATCATTCAACAACTATACCTAGAGCACAAATATAATGGGCAAATTAACAGATTCATTAAATTATGAGAAATATGATTAAATCACTGACCAAATAGAAAATGTATATAATATAGTAAGAAAAAAAGCTGTAAAATATCATAGTTTACAATAATTATTCACATTCAAAGGCTTTACATCTCAATACATACACAACATGGCCCCTGAACATGACTTAAATCCAAATATGATTCATATATTAGAATTTAAATAACACAGAATGAACTAGAGGCTAAACAATAGCCAGCAAATAACCTTATACAAGAATAAAAATACAAAGTGTGTATCCTAATATCATTGCATTACTTCAGATTTCAATAATACATCTTCTGTACATCACAGTTCTGGTCGGTTACAAACCAGGTAGAGTATTAAATACATAATGTAACCGACTCCCGCCAACTTGATAAAAAAAAAAAAGTTCTAGCAAGAGAAAAATACACTTCCTGTAGTACTTGCTTATTTCATATAGATACAGCACTTAAAACTGCTATTTGGATCGAACGTCTTTTGCTGACATCCAAATACATGGATTTACGCAATAGTCTCGAAGCTGCCCCTCCCCCCCATACCTCCCTCCCCCCAATACAGAGTCCACACAGTCACCTGTGGCAGATCAGCTCAACTGTGAAAACACAACCAGCGACTGGTCCATCCTGAGGGCCTCTCGCACTGTACCATAAAAATCAAACATCCTTTCACGTCAAAATGCAGAAACACCAGACGTATCTGTGAACATCATGCTCTCAGTAAACCTTGCGTGGACTGTACAGGTCAAAATGGAGAAGCTGTGATTGCTGCTGTGATTGTTTCCTTACATTAGTAGAAATAGGCTCTTCCTACACCTGGTTGACACATTGTTCTACATCTGGTGAACAGACAGCGTTTGGATTCAGTTTTCAGTGGACAGACGTTTGAACATTGTGCCGCGACCAGACAGACATTTATGATTATTTGCAAAGAGAAATGCCATCTACTGGCACAGTACAGTCAAATAATATAATTACATCAGCTACTGTCATCATCTTAGTGGAAATCTTATATACTCAACTACTCTCTATGACACACCTGCAATTCTCCAAGGTGACTTTTTTTATAAAAGCCAGCAAGGCAAAAACTACTGAATTTGCAATTTACAACTGGCCATGCAGGGAGAGTAAGCAAATATTTTGGTGAGACTTGAATGTTGCACGATTTTTTAATTGCTTAATACGATTTGGATTTAGTTTTACTGATCGTAATCTGTCAGTCATCCAGAAATCAACAACTGATGCAGAGATGATGAAATTTAAAGTACCACTGTAATTCTGCAGGAAAGAAAAAAAAATAAAAATTTGAAAAAAAAAAAAATGGAAAAAAGTGACCGTCACCCACAGGCCGATACCGAGAAAGCCAGCATTAACATGAGACGACTGTTTCTCCACTTAAGGCTCCTTGTCTAACTTATTACTAAATAAGGTGCCACAGATTTAGCCTGGAACTGTAACCACAGCTACACAGTATATACTGCTTGTCTATAAGCACATGTGGATTGCTACATTAACCCCAGTAAAGCGCTCCACACGCAAAGCTGTTTCTTATTGTGTCTCCTGTGCTCGTCGGTAGCAGGACAGCTGGCGGGTGGAAAAAACTGGATATTCATGCGCGACGACGATATGCAATGACGTCTCAACTACAGCACAGAGAACAAGCAAAGCAACCCTGAATTCCACGTCGTTTTTCCCATTTTTCACCCCCTCCCCTACTGCTTTTAGGGATGGAGAACGAAACTTAGAGGCCAGCGTTTCTAGAACAGGTGTTAAAACAGTTCAGATAAAGACACAAGGGAAGGTGTTTCTTTGATCCATGACTGGCGTCATGGCACGAGGGTCCGACTGCATGGTCAGCTGGTGCCCCCCCCACAGCCGACGGGCCTAACTGCCAGTGTTTTGGTGCTTGTGGTAAATCTTCCTCCACACTTCCTGAATCTTCTTGCACCATTTGTCTGCATTCCCACTAGGGTCCATTAGATAATATGTTCTGTTAGGCTGCAGATAAGAAAAAAACAATAATTATTTAAACTAATATTTGCATGACTTTAGCATTGATATTAGCGCTCACAACGCAACAAGCACTCTGCCTATAGACTGTTGATGTCAAAAAAAAAAAAATAATAAATTACCGTGTGAACGAAAAACGTCTTGAAGTTCTTGGCCTCTGGCCGCAGCTCTGGGGACCAGGGAATCTCTCCTTTCAGGACTTTGTTGACCGGGTCCACATAGTAAAGGTGAGGGCCTTCAGTCAGTAGCAACTGGCGTCGACGAGCGAACAGCCCCTATGAAAAGGAGCCCAATGCTTTAAGCCCAAAGCAATGTGTTTTTTTTCCCCACCCAGACTTCGGAATCTACTCAATAACACATGATCTGTCCTATATAAAAGGTCCTCACACTGCCCAAAGAAACATGTTCTTATTTTTACAGATTGCATCAGTAGCTAAATCATAAGGGCTACTAACAGTCCAGTAATACGATGAATACACTCAACAGCACATGCTTTAAAATTTAATTTTAATGGTTTTAAAATTTACTTGTACAAACCACATGCATGCAAAATGTTTCAAACAAGTATTTCCATCTTCATGGGTTTTTCCTTCATTTCCTCAAGATGAAACGCATCTTTTGGTGGGCTTGTACTCACCTTCCGTTTGTCCACTGGCCCCATCTTAAGTATCAAGTTGTTTTCTACAAATTGGTGCCTGAAAAATAAAATAATTTAAAAATAAACAAAAATCAGTGTCATGTCAGACAAAAACCATAGCGTGACATGACTTTTTTGTGGGTGACTCGTGCATCCTGGTGCGGTGTGGAACAGGAATCAACACAAGGTTCTGAAGCCCTAGCTAGCAGACAGTTCATCATAGCTCAAAATCCTGCAAAAGGCAAACTGGTTTAAAAAATTCCATGTAACCTAAATAAAGTAAGAGTTGTCCCTAAATATTCTGTCAACTCATCTGAAGAGAGGCTGAATACATGCTTTATCTAGAGTACTATTTGCAAAATGAACACCCATTGTAGCAAATGCTAATTGAACCCTGGAAATAAATACCACTACTATACCAACATTAGAATCTACAAGTTTACACAGCACACAATTAAAAGTGCCCATCTATGCAAACTTGGTGCACCAGATCACAGACATGAGTGGAGATTCTCTTGTATTTTGACACATCAGATAAGCTTACGAGTTACGTTAGCGTGTGGTAGCCAGTTCCTATTTTTAAATCAATAACAATATTTCGGAAAGAGGTGTTCACATGCAAATACAGAGACTCAACTGACTTACCACTTTGCCTTAAGAACAAAAACTAAAGGGATTCTTAGGAGCCGGTTTACAAATCATTTCTTATTCAACTGGGTGCGATGTAAATGTACCAGTGTGGACAAAGTACGTCAGTGCATAAACTCGTAATACGCCAACGTCACCAGATGATGCAGTTGACCGAAACTCCCCCACTACAGCCGAGTTAGGCTCCGCCCTCCACCCCCATTCTCAGTCTAAACCCAGTTTGATTCGGAGGAGGTAGATAGACGCACCAGGGATTGCCGCTGGTCTGTTTCTCCAGCAGCAGCTGCTTCTCCTCATCTGAGAACTGCAGGTCCAGCTCAAATGAGTTGTTATCCAGGTCATGGATGTACTGCTCGATGTTGCTGTTGGACCTCTGCGGCGGGGCGGACTCGGGCACGGCCAGCGTGTGCGACGAGGTCGACTGGGACACCTGCATGTTGCTGAATTGGCTCAGGAGGTCGTCGTACTGCGGGAGCAGAAGAAACAGCTGTAGGAGAACGACTCTCCAAAGGGAGCTTTCGAGAAGCCGTGTTAGAACAACGGCCTTAGATTAGATCACCATCTGCCTAGAAGCTTAGCAGTTTATTGCTTTTGACCATTTGACAAGCTGGGAAATGCATGTTAATGCAGGCTATTATGTTTCCCAGCTATCCATGCAGAGTGTGCTTGTGAAGATCCATGTCTGGTCAACAAAGGTGGAAAGTTCAGGTCCAGAAAGCAACAATCCAGACCAAGATTTTGTTTCAACCAACCAGTTGAGTACTCTCTGAACGTGACTCGTTATACTCAATTGGTTGGTTGGAACAAAATCTTAATCTGGATTTGTAGTTCCTGAACCTGAACTTGAACTTTCCACCTCTGCTGCTCATCCCGAGAGAGGGCAGACAGGCTTACGTTTCCATAGCAGTCCTCGTCATCCTCTGACATTGCGGGAAGGTAGGGGGTGAGCTTAGGTGGAGTCTGAAGGTGAAGGTTCTCCCACGTGATAGTCTCAAAGAATGGATGAGCTTTCAGGGGGTTATACCCACCCATCTCATCACAGCCTAAACGTTTGGAAGGGTCCAAAGACTGGAAAGGGGGGAGGGGGGCAGTTGAAAGATGGTTGCATCCATAAATCTTAAATTACAAAACTTCACGTGATCTTAAAAAGATCAGTAATGGCAATTGCAATGTAACATTAGCTAAATAAAAGCAACATTATATCAGTTATTGCAATAATGTATAAATCTGTTCAAGTTTGCGATCATCAAAATGATAACATCGCAAACCATTGCCTGTCAATGTCAGACAACTCTTGCTTGTCTCCGGAACAACTTTTGGGTCAAATACCAAATGCTATAATTGTTTTTTGGTACAGGAAGGCATACTGATAATTAACCAGTAACACAGAGCCTTACCAGAAGCTGTTCAACAAGGTCCTTTGCTTTAGGAAAGAATTTCTCTGGAAATTCATATTCCAGCTTTATTATTTTCTGGAATATTAGGTACTCGTTCCTGATGGACATAAGAGACAGGGTCAGCGTCCTGAACATTCAAAATGTTCTACTGTATGTAGCTGTATTTCTATTAGTACTTGACAACATGCTACAGAAACAGTACATCAGGAGTACATGAAAACACACACACACACACACACTTCATTTATGGGGTCCATAAACAGAATTAGTGGTAAACTAAATACTGGGGTTAAATTCTTTTGTTTTTTTTTTTTGCCACTTATTACTTACTACGAGAAGATACTAAAAGTGACAGATACCATTAAATGTAACAACCCTTTAACCTGACAACTATATTTACAGCTGTGGAAACCTACCCCATTCAAGTCCATACAACCTGGGCTGTACCAGACAATCCTATGTTATACTAACATCTTAGAACTAAATGCATTTCCCCACAGTTGTGCCGTTTTGATGCGATTCAATCGAGTTTCATGGTCATGTGACCACGTGGTTGAGGTTTCTCTCCAGGTACTCGTTTTGTAAACAAACTCATTACTTCCTGTTATTTAACATTGGGCTTCATTTGGTCTCGTTTTCCATCTGACATTGTATAATTCAGTGGTGGTGGGGGGTGGGGGTCATTTCCCTTTCAGCGAATTTCGAGATGTACTTATCAGGCTTTTGAGCTCGTGTCACTATGCCTGAGCATTAGCAGTTCATAAAAACACAATCACTCGAACATTCGGATTGGACTCACCCGGCTCTAAATGGGGGCAAGCCTGCCACCAACTGGTAGATTATACAACCTAGAGCCCAGAGGTCGGAGCTAGAAAGAGGAGAAGACCACCGTATTACTTTCTGGTCAATGTATGAACTCGTCATGCTCAAAGAGGAAACTTAGCAAAATGGCAAAAAGGGACCGGAGGTCCGGCTTTCAAAACGCATTACCTTTTGCAAGCAGACTTCTCAGTCAGCAGTTCTGGGGAGACATACTGTGCAGTTCCTACAAAAGAGTTTGCCCGGGCTGCAAACAGTCAGAGAACAACCATTATCAGATGAGTGAATCTAGAGCTCCAAATAGGCATCAAATTCACTGAAATATACTGCATATGTTTGTGCACATTTGTAATTTCCATTATTGTTTATACCTCAGTTACTGGAGTCTAGAATGTGTGGAGGGGGAAAAAAAAAAAAATTTACAGCATTAAGTAGTAATTTGTATTGTTTTTGACATGCATTACAGTACCTTGTTTGCTGTCGGAGGATAACTGTTTTGCTGTTCCAAAATCTGTTATTTGAATATGCATATCCTCACTCAAAAGAATATTCTCTGGTTTAAGGTCCCTGCAGAAAAATTGAAATATATGTGGGAGGTGGAATCAGATAAATTATATTACTAAACTAAAGATAAATATGCTAAATATACAATGAATTTATTCTGATTCTAAAGGACTCGGGTATTCTTACCTGTGAATAATCCCCTTTGCATGCAAGTATTCTAGTGCACAAACTATTTCAGCAGAGTAAAATCTAGTACATGTCTCATCAAAAGAACCAATTTTGCGAATGTATTTAAGCAGCTCTCCATTTTTAGCATAGCTAAGCCCAAAATCTGAGGGGGAAAGTTAAGGACAACAGATTATGAAGCAGTGCATCACAGAAACACTGAACGCTGTAGTAAATCTGAGATACACCTACATGCTCACTGTGATTGCAGCCATTTACGTATAAAGGATACACAGCTTCTCGTCATCTTGAAACGTGAAGTACAGCTTGACGAAGAACGGGTGGTCTAGATTTGACATCACGTCTCTCTCCCTCTTTACATACTGTGCTTTGTTCTCCTTCATTATGTGCCGCTTTTCCAGAATTTTAACTGAAAAGAAGAGAATTTAGAGCGCTCCAAGACATCAGAAATCACGTACTATGCCTGTGACTGGTTCAAAGTTAATTCTTTAATCCTTAAATCGGAGACACACCTGAATTCAAACTCCTTCATAAGTACTAATTAAACTTCTGAGGAAACAGGGGAAAAAAAATATTCTAAACGAAAGAGCCTTACTTGCAAATTCTTTTCCTGTTGACTGTTCTCTTGCCAGCACAACCTATCAGAAACAAAACAGTCCCCTGTCAAAACAAACTAGAATGTTCTGCTAAATATATCAAAGCATGCAACTAGAAAACAGCTAAATGTGATTAAGATTGCGAGATGAATGATCTTGGTACAGAGGGATGCAGCATCCCGTCCGATCCCATCCCAGATACATACTGTGGAGAAGGAGCCCTCCCCGAGAATCTTCCCGAACTTGAAGTCCTCGGGCCTCTTCTTGCGAGGCTGCGCTGGGAGAGATCTCGGCTCGGCGCCCGCGTCGGCCGGCTTCTCGGGGGCCCTGCGCTCCGCCGTGGGTGCCTCCATGCCGTGGCACGGGCTGTTAGTGGCGCCCGGGGTGGACAACGGCGTGCTGCAGTCAGCGTGGCTTCTTACCATCGACGGATGCTGACAGGAGCGGATGACGAAGCTGGGCTGCACAGGAACGGCATCGTACTGTGGAGAGAGCCAGAGAGCGGCATGCTGGGAAGATGCGTTAACGCGCGGACAGCGGGAACGAAAGTCAAGAGGATCTCACGACGATTCAGATCTACCGCATCCCACAGACGAGGGGACCGCTGCTGTAACTCACTACTCCGGATGATATCAAGATTTACTAATCTTGTAGAGCGCAAAAAAAATCTGAATCCCCTACAAAATTGCTGAAAGCCTTAAATACAAGAAGCATGCATGGCTGATGTTCAACTTACATGTATTATAGGTCAAAATTCAGCTGTTTCACAGCAAAAACAAGAGCAGATTAATTTGGGGAAACGCACCGTCTGGATGGGTACTTTCCAGACACCTGTCACGGCAGGCACTGCACCATGAAGAGCCCAGCAACGCGCTGCCAACCACAGAAACCGTGCAGGGTCGGCCTCTTTGCAAACAAACTCATCCGTGTCAAACAGCCCTTAGGAAAGACAACAAAACATTGTCTGCCTGTTTACTTTGAAAGGCGCTGACTCCTGACAATGCCCTAACAGCATCAGTCAAGTCACTTTGGTTGACTGGAAATGGCTACAGGGAGCTATTTATCCTGCTAACCGCCCCCCCCCCCAACCCCCCATAACAGACGGCATTGACTTTGAACCATACGCTCAGACACAATCAGCACAAATCAGAGTGATTCCTAGCTGCTTAATACATAGTTTTGAACTTCCCCAAACACTGTCAACCAAGAAATGTAACAGTTCTCTCTGGCATTAATTATCCCTTCCACAAAAGCAGTAAAAATGCTCCAGTTTTTCCAGCATGCGAAACTGGGCAACCACAGGCACCCAAGATCTCCCTACACACCTTCAAACACTACCAGGGAAATTAGGGCAGATTTAAAAAAAAAAAATGAAAAAAGGTTTGGTTTGCATTACATCATTTCTGAACAAATATTCTATTTCCACAAAGGTATCTACATCAAAATGTAACCCTCACAATGGGGGTGAATCGTCTGCTAAATATAACGCAAACTATTTTTCAGAAAAGCCAGGACAGACTTGCCACTATTTTCTGTACTAATCCTCTAACAGTGCTACCATGGCAACAGTCATAAAGTAAAGAAACGCTTACATTCTTTACTAATAATTTCCAGTACATATTGTATTGAAGAATAAGCATATTCCAAGAGTCAACACTCAGACACTTAAGTTATTTGACGGATCAGATTTTTTTTCCAGACATTCAGTGCTATGTTCAGTACAAATTCATATTTTTTTAGAGAGATGTTAAATTTAATGTTCACTTTTGCATTTTCATGACATTAAAACATGAAGTAAAAGCATCTCACCCTGATTAGAGATCTTTAGCATACTCACCTTAACCAAAAATCGTTTGAATACTGAAATTTGGTAAGTATTTTCCATTGAAATACCATTTAGACATATAACCATCTCAGAAGCATTGCATTATTTAAAATTACATATCAAGCTACACAGAAGTGTGACATTATAAGCTCTGACCCTTCAGATGAGAACAGCTACTGAATAAAATAGAAAACACAAGTAGATGTGGATGTTTCTCCTCATTATGGCAAAAGAAAAATCAGTTAATTGAATTCTGCCTTCATTACAAGCCAAGTGACAAAAAAAAAAACCCATGAAAACTGATTTTTCTGTTTTAATTCTTATGAAAACAGATTCATTAATTTAATGAACATTAATTCAAAATGTCTTAGGCTTTTCTACGATGCAAGAAAATCTTGTTTTGTGGCTCCTACATATTAACGAGCTGTTCTGTACATGCTTTTAGAACAAAACCTGAAGTGTTTTATGAATGGATTAGGTCATTGTGGTTTGCCGTTGTGACTTGCCTTGCTGCAAAAAGTCCCTCACTAGTCAGCTCCAGCACACTATGAATAAGTGTTTATTCCAGAACATTCTCGGGAACTGAATTAACGGACAGTTTTGTGTATGACATGCAAAACGGTTGAACAAAACCAGCAGAAAAACAAAACGGGCGAACTTTTGACGTCAGTTTTGTTAACTACCTTCCTACCCCTTCCTGTGTAATGTCATAATGTTTTACCTAAACTTCTAGCTAGCTTAACTGTGCTGAGTGTTGAGGAGCTAATTACGGCAAAGGTCAAAGGCAAAATCTCTCTGTCAATTAACGGCCATCTTGGAGACGGCCCAGCCTGGTTAGATGGTAGCAATGCTAGGAAAAACCTTACTGTTTCACTCTGCAAGACACCAACTTAGTTTGAGCAATTTTATTAGCTCCTCACTCTTATCGATATTCAATCATTGATTTAAAATACACAATTACAATTTAATATATAAAAAAAAAACACTTCTGGCCATATACAAGTATAATTACCCACAAAAGTACTACAACATTCTTCTAAAAGCAGTAGTGAACTGGGTACAACATGAATGAGCACAGAGAGACTAATCAAACGCTTAAACCTTAAATATGGTCTCCGCACTGAAATGTTTATGAAATGCTTACAATGTTCCATTAACAGCCGTTAAAACAGGTCAGCTACCAGGTACTTTTTACCATCCGCGTCCAACCAATACCATCACTTAGCAACAAAGACTGATGGATATCATGCTGCCCCCATCGGCCAACCAATTCAATGAATGAAAGATCACTGGCCTTAAAAAAAAAAAAAAAAAAGGACAAAAAAACCTACAAAAGCCACATATCTATCAATAACAACAAACTGTACTTTACAAAAAAAAATAAAAAATACAATGTACTGATGCTAATAATTGTTTGAAGCACCTTCCCACCAACTCATCCACAACCATATGAATATTAATATGTCTCATTTTCCCTATAAGGGTGCATTCCAAGAAGGGAAATTCAGACCTGAAGAGACACAGAGATGAGGTAGCTCTCCAGTACCAACACCCTCCCGTTCAACACGGGGGTGATTCACAAACTCGCTGGCACCCTGCATCCCCATACAGTGGTGGCTGCGAGGCAGACAAGCCACCTCTCCTTGACCCAAATTCATCCCCAGGAATACTGCGGCCGCTCCGGCTGTAACGGAAGCGAGGGCGGCCGGGTGCTGAGCCAGCAGAGCCTACATCAAAGCGGCAGGGGCACCGGGAGCTACACGGCTGGGAGCCGAGCGACCTGCAGCCCAGCAGCTCCATCCCACGCAAACAGCAGCCTTTCCCCGCTTTCGAGAGCAGGACACCGACTATGCACTTGGGCAGCCGGTCCTGGTGAATCATTCACTTCAGTCACTACCAAAAAGGGGTACAGAAACTTAAGCGCTACTCGGGGAAAGCCATAAAAACATCCAACACTATTAAAACAACGCGAGGGCCAGACAGACACCAAGAAAACACAATTTGGAGTAGCAACATTATTTCAATTTGTCAGCAGTCCTGGTATTTATTTATAAATGGCAATTCATGCCACCAACAGGCAGCTTGGCACAAACAGGAAGTTAAGTCATCTAAAAGGGACTGCAATTTCTTCATCGATCATAAGCATTCCAATGAAAAACAAAAACAAAGGAATATCAATCATACCTGTTTACTAGGGATATACGATACATCTGAGTAACCATCAGGAAGTAACTCATTTTATATTTACAGTTAATGAATAGCTAAAAAAAAACCAAAGTCATTGCTGAATATCTTATAACCAGATTCATTACCAGCCTTTTTCCCTCACCACAAACAAAATGTTATTTACGGGAAGATGATGGGAAGGTATTTTTTTTTCCCCTTCAATAATAGAAACCAGATTAACCTTTGCCATCAAGCAGGTTAGACATGTTTAAAAAGCTAGGTAACTAGCTGCCGGGTACACCAAGAGAAAGGCAGGGGACTATTACTCAATGAGCACAAACACACACATACTTACAGTAAATAATTTGTTTAAAAATCTCATGATAATTTCAGAATAATATCAAACTCACTGAGCAATTGTCACCTACATTTAACATTGTAAGATAGCAACAAAGTGAATTTGAAGAAACGCATATAAAAAATTGGAATACAGGCAACCCCAAGCCAGAAATATACACCTTAATATCAATTACATGCCAATTCAGATAACTTCACATAGATCATTTGATTTCCTATGCAATTTCAGAATTCATTAAGGAAACACCATGTAAGATAAATGCTACTACTGCTAAAAAATGAGACCTTGAAGCAGAAAGCATGTCAAACACAGCCATGGAAATTTGGTAGCCACCTGCCGGCCTACAGAATATCTAATTACCAAGAGCCTGATCAGGCACGTCCATACATTCAAGAGAAATGGGTTAGGGTTAGGGTACATTCCAGGGTATTCAGATAGAGCCCCTTTCAAATGTACTGCTCCAATAAATCTTCATGTATCCATCACATACAGAAGAAAAATCACATTTAATTTGAGAAATCCGTCACATACAGGAAAAAAAAAATCACATTTAATTTAAAAGAAATATCCCCACAAACAGCAAATGCCAAGCAAGGAAACACCTATAACATTATGCGTGTCTGAAACCAAAAGCCGGTCCTTTGTTTTTCCAAAAATGACTCCCGATGACATCATGAATTGCTGTTACGACCTGTACCGCAAGCCTAGAATGGAATACATTTTTTTGAAAACCAAATCTACATAAACAGCTGCTGCCTATACTCCCAGCTGTCTTATGTAAACAAATATTTGGCATTTAAAAACAGCTAGAATGTCTGAGTTTCCAGTGAACCTATTTTCCAATTCAAAGATCTCACGTATGAATTCAAGTTACATTGGCATTCAAAAAAGAATTGTAGTCCCGAACCAAACCCAGAGACACATTTCAGAATAGTAAAATGATCATGCGTCCATACAGGTCTGCAATAAACTTAGTAATTAAAAAGTAATTACAGGAAAAATAAATTTAAAGCATTAAAAACAAACCAAAAAATATCAGCATGATACCAGTGGCCAGTATAACAAGACTTGCCTCATCTTGAGAGATTTAAAATATTGCAAGTATTCCAGTTACATTAAGGAAGACATACAACCTTAGTCACCACTCAGTGGGTGGATGCATTCAATTGAGATTTTAAAAACGGGGAAGAATTTATTATCAGGCATCTGCTGAATTCATTAGTTTAAGAATAATGCTACTTTGCTGGTCTGATATACAGTTTAATAAAATTCCTTTCCTGGCTTTATATATACACCAACTGCACTAAAACAACGTTGACGACAACGTAGCTTCTTGACATATGGCGCTAGGAAGTTAATCATTAACATTTTATACATTTCGGTAGACAGGATTAGTTATGAGCTTAAGTCGTTTAAAGGTTAAAAAGGTACATTCCGGAGCCGAATTCGGAGAGGCCGATGAGAAGATCTAGCGCAGTTTATTTATAGGAAAACCCTAAATAATCCACTCTGGGCTCACAACTGCAGGACACGTTTAGAAAATGCTCTATTTAGACGGAGCTCTGATACATTAGTGCGGGGAGGGAGGGAGAGCCGACGGGCGGCCGGCACCGCCGCCCTGCTTACCGACAGCGCCGCTTCCGAAAAGGCCCGCCGGCACCACGGACCGGCACCGCCATGCCGCCCCGTCTTAGTGACAAGCCACCGCGATAAATCAACCATTTCAATGAGGATCAATGGCTTTACCAGCCTACCCGAGTCTCTCAACCCATCCTATATTATCACTTATGTAACTACCAGTCTAAAATAATTATGCGCGTTTACAAAAATACAGGTGTGATTATATATATATATATATATATATATATATATATATATATATATATATATATATATATATATATATATATATATATATATACACACACACGAATGAAAACTTCTGTGCCACCGACTGTGAAACTGTCCCTTCACGAGAAACAGTCATGAAGAATTAAATTTACTAAACGCCGGAACAGCAGCTGCCTTAAAGTGATTTAAATAAAGAGAAACGCCTGGTCAGTTCCTGAGAAGTTCGGCGCCGGGTCGAGATGAAGTGCCGCTAAAATGAGAAGAGACGAGCGGCCCGGCAGCCGGCCGACCCGGTTCCGCCGTCGACGCGGCGAAGCAGCCAGTCAGTCCCAGAACAGCGCCATCGGGACAAGAAACATGAAACAGTCAGATGGAATAAATAAAAACAATAATAAACGAACAGGAACACCCTCAGAAACCGCCAAGCGGCTAAACCATATCCCCCGCGACATCAGCCAGGAAGCCACCCAGCCCCGGATTAACCTACGGATATCTTGCCGTAGCATCGTGGCGCCGCTTTAACCATAAACGGGTCAGCCTCGTCCTTCCAAACCGGCACCAGAATAAACAGATCCGTGCGCGGATACCCAGAGCGGCTAATCTGCTAGCTAGCCCGGAGCCCCCTAACGCCGCCGCCACCGCCGCCGCTTAGAGAAAAGAGGGCCCAGTAAACATTTATCCCAACAACTTCCACAATATTCCACCAGCCCGACAACGGCTTCGAATCCGACATCCACTGACGCTCACAATACTTACAACTTGACTAGTGGTTCTTGCCATGGAAGTTTTCCCACCAATATTTATTTGGATTTAATAATTGCGGAGCCTCCACTAATGGCTACCTCTGCGACTTCATTTTCTGCCCGTGACGTCACTCAACAACAATGTTACCGCAACAGACGGGAGTGGACGCTTCTTTAACCACTCCCACTGCGAGCGCACGTCGGCCCTGCTGTGGTGGTTACGGCTGTCAGTCAGGATGAGTGACATCCGTTTCACGGTCGGCAGTTTGATGAAGAGAATGTTGCAGCGACTTTGGACATCCTTCGCTGTCAGCTAATGTTATCCAATGTCTACGCAGACTGTCATAATTTGGAGGGGGGGGGGAGCATGACGCTGCACATTTTTTAGTGCTCTTTTTTCCTCACTCTGTCACTTAACCGTATTATTTAGCACCATACTGTTCTGTATGTATTTTGTTGCACGTGTTTATAAGCGCAAATGACAGCCATGCGGTTTGCCTTTCACTACAAGATACAAACAGCAGTATTATTATGTTGTTGATCTAGTTTTTATAACTGATAATGAACTGTGATTTGTAACAGTTAAAACGAATGAGATGTTACATACCTACAAATTTATTATTATAATTTTAGAGCTGCGTGGTATGTGTTTGCTTTGTGCAAGAATAAACCATAATGGTATAATATTTAGGGCCCTGTATCACAAAACAGGATTTCTTGCTTAGCCGGATAACTTGTCGGATTTAAGGTAGTCTGGACTAAATGTAAGTGAGCAAAGATAAAGCCCATTTAAACTGGGGTACCTTAAAGTTATCAGGCCAAGAAACCCTGCTTTTTGATACAGGCCCCAGGTCTCGGTATTTAAAATTGAAGAATGTTAGGGTCTGTGGTGCTTTTCTCATGTTTTCATTAGCGTCATCTTATGTCCCTGTCCTTTACCAACTGCCGTTGCAGTTGATGTTTTCTAAAATTACATTGGTTTCATTCCTCTCATATTGATTGGATATTACCCTCTATTTAGTATTTAGGGGCTGCTGGAGATTTTACAACTTAAAAATAATTCATACTTTTAATACACAAAAATTTATATGCAGTCTTTTTTTACAATGTCACTCACCAGCTCAGGTGTTGGCATGGAAGCATTTTTAGGGGATTCTAAGGTTGTTCCTATACCTGGACATTAACACACCTCTAGGGTTGGGGGTTCGTATTCTGCATGTTTTTTCTTGTATGTACTTCAAAAATATTGCACTAGGCAAACTGGCCTTTCTAAATTGCCAAGTGTGTGTGTGTGTGTGTGTGTGTATGTCTGTTTTTATGTGTCCTATGAATCCCATCCAGATTTTTTTTCCCTTGATCTGGGTGCTCCAGACTCACCATGATCCTGTCTGCAAAGTGGTTGAAGGATGGAAAAATATTAAAAGTCAAATTAACGATGGAAATACATCTAAAACAAAAGAGTCAGTACTATTCCTTTTTTTATGAATTAGAGTGGCAACATTATTTAAAAAGAGCTAATTTTTAAAATGTTATATTGCCCTTTCCTTCACTAGAGGGCGGTAGAGCATAAACTGTAAATAAACGAACGGAGACACCATTTACTTAGTGTACTGCTTTAGTGAATTTAAAGAGTTTAGATTTGGTAAGACATGAGTCTATAAGCACTTCAGAAGCTACAGTAAAATTTCCCCAAAGAATCGTTTGTGTTTTTGTGTGAAAAGAGAACGTTCGTAAATCCTTGGGTGGTAATTTACTTAGAAGCCTGAATACATACAATTATGGTATTTAGATTCTTTCTTGTAGTCTCTCTCTAACAATAGCTGCCTTGTTCTTAACACTTTGGCATTCCTTTTCTTAAACATGACTTTAAAAGGAAGCTGTATTTTTTATTATGCTCTGAAATGAGAAAATAGAAAGGGCTATATTTCAGTCTTGATGGTGTTAATTAACCATATACTATTTTCATTTTTCCATAATACTTCAAGAACAATGCTTGCATTTTACAATTTTACAGTGAATATTTTGTTATTTACACACATCTGACCTTAACCTGTGTACTATTCAAGTTTAATTTTAGTGAATTATGGTTACTGTGGTGGCTCTTGCTTTTGGTTGCAACCTTATTTTGGATGCTGTTCTAGTTGAACCAGAAACTATGGTTTCGATTTAGCGTCGACTACAGCATATGATCAAGAGAATGAACAAAAGCGCTGTGCACTTGGATAGCAAGAGGCTATACCAAAAACAAGATATACCATAACCATACAGATAAAATAGGTTATAAAATAAAGGCAAAATATAACATAAAGGTGAGACAGGCCTCAGGGCAGCCTCAAACTGGAGAGGAAAGTCAGCCTCTGAGAGAGGCACTCAACCTATTGGTCTATGTGGTGGCCAGGAGAGCAAGGAACCCAAACAGGATGGGCAGTGGGAACCTCTGGCCAAACAGGGAAAAGGACACATAGGACAGGGCTAGACGGACACCAAACCCTGACAGCTACAGTCTGGGCGGTTTATGTAAATTGACCTGTTCTTCAGTTGTTTTTTATCTATCATCTGTCATTCTTCTGTACCTGCATACCCTATTCAGGGTCACGAAGGCAGAAAACAATCCAGGATGGGGTGGCAAACCTTCACAGGGCACACACACCATTCTCACCTACAAGCAATTTGCTGCAGTAATTCCAATTCACCTTTTTGGATTGAGGGTCGGAAACTGGAGGAAACCCCACAACAACATGGGGAGAACATGCAAACTGCACACATGGCAGCGTGGGGGAGGCTCAAGCCCTGGTCCCAGGGGTGCGAGGCAACAGCGCCAACCACTGCACCAACCTCTTGTAGCTTAAAAACCCCTAATGTTAGTTGTTAATTTAAGGTGCAAGAAATCAAACATATAATCTACTGTAATTAATATTTCTTGGAATTCCCAGAATATCTCCAAGACCAAAGTTTAACATTATTATAACTTAGAAAGGACTCTGGCATGTGCAAGCTTCACCTGCTGTTAGTGTAGTGGCAAGGGCATAACTTTGGCTTGAGCACTGGGGTGGTGGGGTGGATTGAGATCTCCTCCCATTTAAGAGATTCCAAGGGCTTGTATGGGCTGGTTATGATTACTGGGGGGTTACAACCCCCCACCCTCCCATAAATTATGGCCATGTGTAGTGTAATTGGTACACAGATCAATTTTACATACAAGATACTATGTTTAAGGGGGTGACTTCATTTTCAAATGGTGCTATTAGGTGATGCCAAATGATCTTTACTAAATACACAATTTAACAACTTCTTTTTCTACTTAATACTCAATTATCAGTTCTCATGGAAGGATTGGCAGTATAAGACATGTTAATTGTTAAACATTCAGAACATCCAGGCAAATACAAATACAGAATCTATTATTGTGTGCATGTGATCAAAAGATTTTAAATCCCCTGGTGGCATCAACATCGGTCCCTTAACCCTAAGAAAAGCTGGTGGACCTTTCATGCTTAGTGTGTTAAGTGTATGAGGTGTCTGGCCCAAGAATGATCAGACACTGGCAGCTTTATGGTCTACAGTATATGCACTTTATTGACAAACGTTTTGGGACACCTGCCTTTACACGCACATGAACTTTAATGACATCCCATTCTTAATGCATAGGCTTTAATATGGAGCTGGCCCACCCTTTGCGGCTATAACAGATTCAAATCTCCTGGGAAGGCTGTCCACAAGGTTTAGGAGTGTGTTTATCCTCCTGAGACCCAAGGAAAAAAGTGTCAGTTTTAGGTTAATTGTGATTTTCTATCTCTTTGGAGGAAATAAGACATCTTTTTTCAAATTTATTTTTATTTTTAATTTCACAGCATGTCCTCTTTAGTATACAACAGGAATAAATACGTTTTCTTACATCAGTGAAAAGATACAGTATATGCAAAAACAAAATGTCCACTGCAATGGACATAAATGAATAGGTAGGGTCTCAGGAGGTTATGGGAATTTTTGACCATTCTTCCAGGAGAGCATTTGTGAGGTCAGGAACTGATGTTGAATGAGAAGGCTTGGTTCGCAGTCTCTGCTCTAATTCATCCCAAAGGTGTTCTATCGGGTTGAGGTCAGGACTCTGTGCAGGCCAGCCAAGTTCCTCCACACCAGACTCACTCATCTATGTCCTTATGGACCTTGCTTTTTGCACTGGTGCGTAGTCATGTGTGACAGGATGGGGCTGTCACCAAACTGTTCCCACAAAGTTGGGAGCATGAAATTGTCCAAAATGGCTTTGAATGCTGCAACATTAAGAGTTCCTTTCACTAGAACTAAGGGGCCAAGCCCAACCCCTGAAAAACAACCCCACACCATGATCCTCCCTCCACCAAACTTTACACTTGGCCCAATGCAGTCTGGCAAGGAATGCCACAAGGTTCAGTTTTAGGTCCCCTACAATTTTCACTATACATGTTACCTTTAGGCTCAGTTATTTGTAAGCATGCAGTTAGCTTTCATTGCTTTGCAGATGATACACAATTATATATGTTGGCTAAACCAGAAGAGAAACAGCAACTTCAGAGAATGGAATAATGTTTAATTAACATCAAAAAGTGGATGTCAAACAACTTCCTCCAGTTAAAATCTAGACAAGACTGAGGTTCTTCTTTAAGCCACCAGAAGTAAACTATCTGACATCATAATCAATCTGGATGGACTATCTATTGCACCAAGTACTGTTGTTAAAAACCTTGGTGTTATTCTAGATTCTGATCTTTCGTTCGATGTACATGCTTCTAACATTAGCCGTACTGCCTTCCTTCACCTGCGTAATATTGTGAAATTAAGAAACATGCTATCCTTTGAAGATGCAGAGAAATTGGGTCATGTGTTTATTACCGCCAGGCTCGATTACTGTAATGTCTTATTCTCTGGTTGTCCAAATAGGTCATTTAATAAACTCCAACTAGTCCAGAATGCAGCAGCCGGAGTCCTCACCAAAGCTAAAAAAATATGATCATATCACCCCAATTTTATCTTTAAATTTCGTGTTGACTACAAAATGCTACTCTTAACTTACAAAGCTCAAAATGGTCTAGCACCGCAGTATATGAGTAACCTCATTTGCAACTACGTTCCGACTCGTACGCTTCGATCGCAAGATGCAGGTGTTCTTTTAATACTCAGAAAAAAGAACGTCACTTTTGGAGGAAAAGCATTAGCTCATAAAGCACCACAGTTATGGAATAAACTTCCTATTAGTGTTTAGAACTCAGAAACAATCTCTGCTTTTAAGTCTAGGCTTATGACTTACCTCTTTAGTAAGCCTTTTGGATACTAAAAGGTGGATGTGAGATCTGGAGGTTCATGGTCATTTGAGATTATAGGTGAAAGGGGGGATCGGTGCTGTCATCCCGTCACTCTTGCTGATCACATAAGTTGTTGACGGTAGTTTTACTTGATGCCAAGACGCCTGGAAACCCTCATGTCTGTTTCATTTCAGGTCTCCCTTTTAGCCAGGCTGCCATAGCACCCCGAGCTGACACTCCACTGCTTGAAGCCTCACCTGGGCTCCTTGGAGACCATTATCTGGAGCCAACTAGGATTTTTAAATTATATGGACTTGAACTGAATTCCAATTTAATACTGAATCAACTTTAGCTTAATGTCACTATGGGTCATAGCATGCGGCCACAGCAACGACACTTTCAGACTATTTTTATATCTTCACTTCTTTAAAATGATAATCATTCATCTTTAACTAACGTTAATGTGAATACATTTACATGCTCCCTGGTTGCCCAGAGAAGGATAGGGTCCCCTTCCGAGTATAGGTTCCTCTCAAGGTTTCTTCCTGCTTAGGGAGTTTTTCCTTGCCACTGTCACCTCAGTACAGTAGGTGGGGGTACGGGCCAGTTATATATAAAATGCTTTGTGACAATGACTGTTGAATTGAATTGAAATTTAATGAATGGAATTATTACACAGGTGGCATCCTATTACGGTACCACGTTTGAATTCATTGAGAGCAACCCTTTCTTTCGCAAATGTTTGTAGAAGCAGTCTGCATGCCTAGCTGCTTGATTTTATACACCTGTGGCTATGGAAGTGACGGGAACACCTGAATTCAATGATTTGGAGGGGTGTCCCAATACTTTTGGCAATATTGTGCATACTGAGGTTTTTTAATGTAAACAATCATTTGGCATGAAATAAAAAAAAATGTTTCAGTGCAAAAAACAAAACACCTTGTATGTGCACATCTTCACATTTATTTTTTTACAGCAAGCTGATACATCCAGTCACTTCGTCAGTGTCTCCAGTGTGATCATTTTAACAGGCCCAAGCTCAGACCCACAGACGTCTTGTAATTCTAATGCACTGCGTGATAGGGTTTCCTGCCATGTTATTTTTAACGCCATTTATGTGTGCTTTTTTCATACAGAAGTGCACAAAGCACTTTTCCTTTTTTACACTCATGGGGCAGTTTCACTTTCTGCTCCAGTCTGCTACCATTTTATAGTGCATCTTCTGCTTCATGCGTCAGACTTTCGGCTTAAAGAAATGTCGACATTTCTCAAGATTGAAACATCAGCATCCTATAATTTTACAAAGAGACAGAGATTTATGGCCCCACAAGACCAGCAATGTCTAAGACCTCTCTTTAATTCATTCAAAAGACTCATCTATAAAACATTTTTTGGGAAGGAAAACCCCAGTTGCAGAATACAATATGAGAATTTTAATAATTGTTGCTGTTGAACAATATAACATAATCATGCACTGTTTCATTTGCATGGGGTGTCAAATTAAATGAATATTTAAGCAGTGATACATTAATTTACAGTTTAACATAGCAGCATACTCAGGGGCAGAGTTTGGGTGAGCAGCGGGGGTCAGTGCCCCCCCCCCCGTCACCTAAGTCCAAATTGCAATTAACTGGCAAGACCGGCATTGGACTGTTTTATGCTGGCACTTTGGACATTTGCGTTAACAGTTTCCTGGAACCCTATAGGTAGACAAAATACAGTGATACCTTCGGCTCACAAACTTCATTCGCTCGAGGACTCAGTTCACGACCCGAGAAGTCTACGACCTGAATCAATTTTTCCCATTTAAAATAATGTAAATACAAATAATTCATTCAAACCTCAGAAACAAAAATATGTTTTAATGTACAATACGTGTAATTACACTAGAACACAGAATTAACATTCATGAGCACAGCACTTGAATAAACACTGTTTATGCTAGGCGCGGCACCAAAAAATGTGTAATTACACTAGAGCCAAAAAGGGAAAGAGATAAGAGAAGAAACGTTTACGGAAGGCGGACCAATAGACAACTGAGCATACGCTTGTTAGCGGGCTGGCCGCTCGAAAGACGCCAAAACATGGAAAAGAACCACAAAACATCCCCCCAAAAACTAAACAATTAACATTAAAAGACTGAATAACAGTCAAAAACAATACAGTAATTTCAAAAATGTGATTTTAAAAAAAAATTATACTGTACATTATTTTCATATGCCAAAAATTTTCATGTACATTTCCTGATGCCACGCGTTGCATGGCAATGAACTTCTTTGTTTGTACTATAAACAAACAATACGCAGTTGCCACTATGTGTGACTGGAGAATATAACACTAAAATAGGAGTTAATTTATGTTAATGAAGTACTGTAATTTTATGCATAGATATGTGACTGTTAAAAACCATCACAAACATGTTTATCAATCACTGAAAGGTACCGCTATAATAAAATGTTCTCTCGCTATATATTTTTTTCAAATATTCAACCTCTGAAGAGATATAGTAAAGACATCTACAACAAGTTTTTTATACATTCCACAGCCGTTCTTGGGCATAATGAACACTTCATCATGTTTCAGGTGCCTCCTCGGGTTGCGTTTGGGGGATGTTTGTGTGTTCGCAGCCTGAAACACGGGTCGCGAACCGGTACAAAAAAAATTCCGAACATCTGGTTCGTAACCCGATTTGTTCGTGAACAGGATTGTTCGTGGGTCGAGGTACCACTGTAATAGGTTGTCTGTGCAAACATCAAACTCTGTCTATGAATATACTTGTTCTTCCCACAGTGCTTACTTTTTACAATACAATTTACATATATTACCATTTCATTTATAGAAAAATATCAAAATATTTACAGCAGTTAAAAAGTCAGTGAGGACACCAGCTAACACATTTACATTGTAACAACAAAAAAAAATACTTCCCAACCTATTAATGGGAAATTAGAATGATTGGAAATTCCCCAGAAAAGTAAAGCATATTAAGGACATACACTGTGTCAATTCAGCATTAATTCTGCTTATTTCAGATAGTGGAATTGAAAAAGCTTGTGATCCTGCAATTGATAGATAGATGGATTGTATTATACCAAAGGCTAATGTGTATCCACATTTTTATGTCCAGATTTCCACAAACTGCAAGTCCCCATCTAAAATATGACTAGTATTAAAGCTTTGTGAACTGCAATGTGCCATCGCAATCTTCCTCTGGTGCTTTGCTGGGGATGAGCTCATTGCCTGTAGCAGTGAGCGTGCAGTAATTGTTGCTGTAGCCTGTGCTACACTGCAGGTCCCCGAATCTTGAGTCCCCTACGTCGGGGCCTGTGTGCTTCAGGACAGAACCCACTATGACACTAAGTTCAGGCATCAGGAAGGGGACGGAGAACAGGGAGTCCTGTGGATCTATGCCATAGGTGTTGACCAATGGATTGACATAGGTGGTGTAAGTCTGTGTGTGTTGGAGAGGGGGCAGAATATAGCTTTCTTTGTGGTCTATGGGAGGGGCCACAACCAAGGTGTCAAGTTTCAAGGGTTCCTCTATATTTAATGGTCTTCCCAGATTTCCTTGAGACATGACCCAGCTCTACAGTGACAAACACACATATTAAAGGGCGAGTTCCAAAATACAGAAATATTTGGGGAAAAGTTGAAAAGAAGCATCCTTACCTTGAAATCTCCCTTATATTTATTGTACAGGGATTGAAAGAAAGGTTCTGGTGTTGGAACACTGAAGTACTTTTTTAGGTTTAGCCTACAATACAATACAGGTTAGAATAGAATAAAATATACTTTACGGTCATTGCACGCAACTTGTACAACAAAATGCAATAAGAAATTCTCTGAGTGAAACTTCCAGTAAAAATGTTGTGGATCAACAATCATTATCATGGTCTTAACTTATGCATCATGAGAATTGGTTACCTAGGTTTCAGTCTGAAGAATAAAAACAGCATTATGGCAATTGCAGCACATGCAGCGAGTCCAACTAACAGCAGTGCACCTGTAAACAAGGAAACCATCAGCAGATACATCATGTTGTAAATAGCATTCATGAAGTGTAATTGTGCTCAGTCTTCGGCGGTGCTTACCATTACCCTGTCGTTTGTAGGTCCTCCACCTTACAGCTGGGCTCCAATCACTCCATTGCCCACAGTAATGGTTCGAAATAGGGCTAGAGGACACTTTTGCTATGTACTCTGTGTCTGGTTCCAACCTCAGGTCTTCAACCTGGACTAGTTTCTCAAATAACTCTATCTTTGTCACCTATGAGCAGAAAAAACACAATAAGAAAAAATAATCGATGGGTCACAAATGTCAAGTGAAAACCCAGTTCTTGCTGTATAATCAAAGTGGTTTGGGAAAGCTTACATCATCCGAATCTCCACTTCTGTAGTACCAAAGTCTGTATTTCAGATACCTTATCAGGAAAACCCGAGGCTGAATTTTTTCATAACTGTTCTGCCAAGTGAAATTATAGCCACCAGGAAACCAGTGGACGCTTAGGTTACAGGGTGCTACTGGTTTAACTAGAAAAAGAAACCAGCAGTCAGACAGACATATAATGGGGAGGAAATGGCAGGACATTTCAAAACTTTTATGAATGAAGGTTAAACATAAACCATGATAATGGTCAGAAATTGGTTATCATTCAGTTTGACACATCAGTAAGGTTTACGTCAGCTGCCTTGATCTCAGTTCAGTTCAGTCCAGTTCAGTGCAGTCCAGTTCAATTCGATTCAGTTCAGCAGCTTTCATAAAAGAGTCACCCCAAGGCACTTACATAGACGTGCCGCAATACATTCTGGCATAATTTATACAGAATAATTCAATAAGAAAGAAAGAAAGAAAGAAAGAAAAAGAAAGAAAGAAAGAGAGAAAGAGAAAGAAAGAAAGAAAGAAAGAAATACAACAACAGAAGAGAGGAACCAAAAACTCCCAAACAGAGAAAAAAAATCTTTGGGGGTCCAAGGTCAACTGGTTGCCCAATCCCCCCCCCCCAAGACATGCTAATATTATGGAGAAAAAGAGTGTGCTTGCTTGCTAAAAGCAAGGTGTAAGCTGCGGTCAAGGTCAAGGCCCCTCGATGAGTCGGGGGGGGGGGGGGGGTGGGGGGGGGCTGCACCCCTGATGTTACAGTTCATAAGTCACCTACTGAGGTTACCGTCCATGGAGCTGGAGCTTAGAAAAGACACCGAAATAGAAACTTACTGTGTTTTGCTGGCTTGTACCTATTTTCTAACATGGCAGTCCGCAAATTATCCCAAAGCTTTATGACAAAATGCTCCGTGTCTATAAATCTTTCTGGAGACTGCAATGTACATTGGTAATTATCCAGTATTTTTGCAAGTGAACAGTTGAATATTTTTCTGTTCACAAAAGAGAGTATATGACAGATTATATTATAACTTACAAAGACACTATCCTCAAATCTACCTTCAATAGCTTTAACTTCAAGACTGCAAATTTATTCCCATATGTTTAACCATCCAAATCAGGTATAATTATACAGGAAGTATGCCTTACCCATAGTGCTGAAATTCGAGCCAGTATGAAATGTTTCTGATATGATCTGAGCCTTTGGAGATTCTTACTGTGCAGGTTATTGTAAACAAATAATCATTTACACAAGAGATCTCATCCATGGTGCCTGTGGAAGTTAAAAACAAAGGGAATATGATTGTATGAATCAATTGGCCAATTACTTCTCAAGTAAAAAATATAATATTAAGATATTTAAAATACAACTAATCACAAACTGTTGAATAGTATAGCCCCTTTCTTTCAGATTTTGCCAAAAGGAAACAATCTCAGAGTTTGCATTAAAAAGTAATAAGTGGGCATGACCATAAATAATTCTCAATAAATTCAATTACAACTAATTTGGCATATGCTACCTGATTGGCTTCTATAAATGTATAGGCGTATCCATGACTGGATTTTCTATGCATGGGCAGCCACATGAAGCATGAGGTGAAGTGGAAACCAGCGGATGGGACAATTCCACATGAAGGTGATCACCGGGAACTGGCCTCTGAAGGTGCAGCATGAGAATCCGTGTTAAGGGCATTACAGAAAACAGGTGCCCATCACTGGCCTATTTGGAAGCAACTTTTTAATGATGTCTTTCCAATCCGGGGGTTTGATCAGCAAAGCAGAGTTAAGCTTTTCCTTTTATTTTTGGTTCAACTCCAATGAGTCTACAATCCTCAGAACTTCTAATAATGCAAGCACTTAAAAACAGTCCTGTGTAGTGAGTTCTTAGACTGTAAGAATTCTCAGGGCACGGGTGTTTTTATTTTGAAGATTTATTTTTTTTCCTGCCAGAGTGTAAGCGGGCCACTTCTCTCTTAGATGCAGCTGGAATTTGTTTTCCTGTCTTTTATAATAATAAACATCCTGCTTTTTCTAGGATGAAGAAACCATCTCCCGGTCCTTTCTCCTCTCACCACACTATGTTAATAAATGACGTTCCTGTTCCCATTCACCGCACTAGTTATTCTCATCTGTACCTCATCTCTCCTAGTGCGTCTATGTGTTTTTGTTGTTTGAGCAGAGAGCCAGAAGCCAATCACCAGGAAACACAAACAAAGTACGGGCAATCGTTCCATCTCACTCTCCCTCTCTTTATTTATTAGCTACAACGATATTTTTCTATTCTGCTTTCGTCCACTCTTTTTGCCCCGTGTGTCACTTTCTGTTTCTTGTGAGGGAAATCGATGTATTGCCGCATCACATTATTTTGTATACTGCCTGGAAGCTGAAAACTTTCAAAAGCTGAATTTGCTTTGAGTCTTTACCACATGTACCGTGTCTCCTGCTTTTACTGATATCTGATTACTGGTGACAAGGTTCAATTAAGAAGATGTAGCTATTAGATCCTGATCTGCCCCCCTTCTATGCTGATAGCATCATTATAGTAATCCATCCATCCATCCATCCATTTTCTGAAACTGCTTCTCCTATTTCCCAATCCACCTATTGGGAGGTGGGTCCAGAGCCTATGGGCACAAGGCAGGGAAGAACCCAGGATGGGGCAGCAACCAATAGCAGGGAACAGTCACTCAACATGCACACTGACGGGCAGTTGGGCGACTCTGTGGGGGGAAACCAGAGCACCCAGAGGAAACCTTACGATGACACGGGGAGAACATGCAAACTCCACGGAACCCGGGTTCCAAAGGTGCGAAGCGACAGTGCTAACCACTGCACCCCCATGCTGCCTCACTTTGTAGTAATATAATCCGCAAATTTTTACATTTTTGATTATTAAATATATGCTTTATTTGTCAATATATTCTATATCTCTTACAGCCATACATCGCTTTAGAAATGATAGTAATAGTAAGTCCTTTCTAATTGGGGGGCATTGTTAAATTTGTATCCTGAACAACTATTCAGGTTTAGGGGTTAAGGTTAGGGGTATGAGATATAGATTTGACCAACATCCAAGGAAAAGATGAAAGGACAGTTACCTTTTGTTACAGTGGCTCCAGACAGAAGGCCGCTGTTGTAAAATACCCAAAGAAAGGCAAAAAGTCGACTCATAATCAGATCTTTTCTGTGAAAGGAAAGATAAGTCTGCAATTTTAAAGTAATTGTTATAAGCTCAGCAATATTTTTAGCAAAGAGGAAGTTTGCTGAATGACTGATAACTACTGATCTCAGATCAGATCAGATTTTTATCCTGAACGACAGTACTACACAGGCCTGGGTCTGGCTGTGGTTATTAAGGGGGTCGGCGAGGGGGTTGCTGAACACACTGTCATGCTCAGCAGAGGGTGGCTGTTCCTGCTCTTTCAGATCACATGGAAATCAGCTTGCATGAGCTTTGATAGCATTTCATTGTGTGCACAAAAGGCTTAGTCGCTAGGTTTTTTAACAGTCACCAAAAACTCTCCAAATACCAGTTTTCTGAAACTTGAATAGTCATAAGTTTCACCCCAGAGTGGGTCGGGCATATGATCTGTTGGGGCAGGCCAGCTTTGAATACAGAATAAGGGGAACCTTTCAGAAGAAAAAAAATTGAGATGTAAAAGGTGGTGGTAGGGGGGGGGTTAGTATAGTTACAAGGGCTCCTAAGTGACAGGGGTCCTAAAAACTAGATAATTAGATTGATCTGGGTGGGGGTCTAAAATCTCTAGCCGTGCTCCTGCCACAGCCATACAATCCACATTTTCAACAATACTTTCTCCGCCTTTCTCAGCATTGCTTCACCATAAATGTAGAATTGGTTAAATAGTAATAATCTGAATTTGTTTCATTAACATGAGAAGTGCCACAGTGTTGCTTTTGTGGTTTTAAAGGGAGTTGCTCTGGGTTATTAATAAATAAATATAACACTATATTTTTCACACTTTTTCAGACCACCCATCCCTATTGAACCACCTCGCACATAACAGGGAAAAATGTTTATTATTATTATTATTATTATAATTATATAATTTTTAAAGGGTGTTTGGAGAAAGTCAGGTGACAATAACTGCACGAAATAGGTGCTTGTTCATTTTATCCAAAATAACCTAAACATAAACATTTTTAGCCACCAAACGGTAAATGATGTCACAGACTTGAAAAGACATCCAAGCCAGAGCTCAGTTCGTTAGGTTTAAAATACTTCATACATTACGGTCGCCTTCCCATTCTTATTACGAATTATGAAACATAACACGTACTCTGTCGTGATGGACCTTAACGTATTGAACAAATGACATGAATAAATCAAGACAGACATTCGCACAGTCTAATCTACCGTGACACGTGGAAACAATCTACAGACAGAATGACTCGTGCAAAATCTGACGAATACCAAGCACCTATCTGATTTTAATGTTTCGTAAAAGAGCAACGTTCATCCCGGGAACGTCTAACGCCACCGATTTGGTAATAAACTTGCAGACAAGCTGTTGCATAGCCGCATAGACACGCTCAATACATGCTTCCCCAGGACATCAGAAATGTCCCTACACTTAACATGGGTTTATCTACTAAGTGATCCGCAGTAGCTGGTAAGAGAGAACTGTCCAACTTTACAATAGTGTTTCTTTGGTGGCGATACGTAAATGAAAAGATACTGATAACAGCATTACTGATAAGTCGTAATACTTTATACGCATGTAAGTGAAAATATGATAAAATATTTACTGTTGTCTAACCGGAAAACTACGCTTACGTATGTGGTGTTAAAATTTGAAAATTCACATTAAGAACTGACGCCATTAGAGCCGCACAGTCATGCATTTGTCTTATCATGATGTCTAATTGCATGTATATATGTATAATTATTTGAAGAAGCAATTGAATTAAATTTATCTGAAATCAAGCAGTGGATAATTAGTTTCTACAAAACAGAAGTGACTGTCATCGCAGGTTACCTTGCCTCGCTACCTTAAATTTGTTGATGCTCCGGGATCTGCCGAAATGATCTTCACTTCTGATGAACTGTGGATTTAACTTATGGCGTTAAATTAGTGCCAAAACTCGCGCGCATAAAAACCACACGCGCGTATGCGCTAGCGAGCAGAAAACCCATCCTCTTTACGCGCTCGCGTTTGCACAGCACTTGCTCGCTCGCTCGGCGTTACATTAGTGCCAAAAGTCGAACCACGTGCACGTGTGCGCTTGCGAGCTGAAAACCCATCCTCTCTACGCGCTCGCGTTCGCTGGACCCTATCTACGCACTCGCGTCTGCACAGCACTCGCTCGCTCGACAGGATGAATTTTGACACTTAGGAGGCGGGAACATTGCCTAATATCTCCTCTCATTTGATTGGTTTTTAAAAATATTGACTACGATTGGCTATTTGCTTTGGTAGAAGATGATGATAACTTGTCACTGACCGCGGTTAAGTTAGCCTCATATGGATTTTCATATAATTTTTGTCTGTAATAGTTATTAATTATTATATTGCATCCACTTAAAGTGCAATGGAGCAACAACTAAGGGGTTAATAGCTCTAAAACAAAATGGGACAGCCATGTCCTCATCAGTGGACTCCGGGGGATAATGCACACCCCTTGGATTTTCAAGATCACTTTAAATGTGACGAAACACGTAATCAAACAATTCAACTGCGGTACATTTGCTGTGTCCCACGGTGCACTGCCTAAATCACACTTTACAACTTATTTATGGATTAATTTGTGTTATCAATTAACTGTCAATATGTATGAAATGGAGCAATGGCATGTAATATGCATACAATGTGTTAATAACTGTCAGAGAGAAAGTTATTCTGAAAACCCAGTGGGGTGTGCATTGTTCCCTGTAGTCCACTGATCAAAGCACACTCCACTAGATGTGCCTGTTTTGTCTAGTTTTAAAGTTACTAACCCATTCATGTATTGTCCCATTGCACATTATACGGATACATTCGAACATTAAGACCAAAATGCTAAACCACCATGTCATTACAGCTGAAAGAACATATAATATTAGCTATTAACACGATTTTGCAAAAATCACGAAATGGTTTGAAGCACAAAAATAATCGGTATGCATCGCTGTCTATGTACTGGATATCACGATTCTGCCATTAAAAACGCCCCACCTTACTTCCGTTAGAAGTTATTAAAGCCATAAAACTGAATATCGAATATGAGGCTAACTTAACCGCGGTCAGTGTCAAGTTATCATCATCTTCTACCAAAGCAAATAGCCAATCGTAGTCAATTTTTTAAAAAACCAATCGGAGCGGAGATATTAGGCACTGTTCCCGCCTCTAAAGTGTCAAAATTCATCCTGTCGAGCGAGCGAGTGCTGTGCAGACGCGAGTGCGTAGATAGGGTCCAGCGAACGCGAGCGCGTAGAGAGGATGGGTTTTCAGCTCGCGAGCGCAAGTTTTGGCACTAATTTAACGCCATATTAACTGCTTATAAAACGGAAGACGGAGTTCCTGTCGTCAAACCAGTCCGTCCCTTGAGCTTTGCATTGCCATATCTAATGCAGTATAGTCGGTGTTGTTAAACGAATATTATTTTATAACTGTAATTTAATTGAGATAAAACTTTGATTAACCGAAAGGAGCAGAAGCGATTCTTGTATTTCAGCCCCCAGCAGGGTTGCCACTTTCAGCCTTATACGGGAGGTTAACTCCCGGGTCCCCCACGTTTACAGTACATAGGGGGGGCTGGAATATTTTTTGAGGGGAGATGAGAAAGGGAATATGCGTGTCGAATTATTGCCAACTCACGGTTTATGTGAGCATCTTTATGGGTTTTTCATCTATTTTTAAATGTATATATTTAAAAAGTGTACACTCTGGTCACTTTAGGTACACCTTGCTAATACCGGGTTGAACCCAGTTTTGCCTTCGGAACTGATACAGGCGCCCCTTATTTGCTAATCGGGGAACTGAGCCCGCCTTAGAGAAGCAGAGCAGTGCTCGGTCATTATAATCGGTCTTGAAACTTAGGGCCCTGTGGTTTATTGGGTTCGGTAGTGTCCCGTTTATCCTGCGCCTGTCAGCAGGTCAGGGAAGACCAAGATCCGGTGTAGCGGAAAAATTACTCGTCTCAGAGTAGCTCAAATTGGCTACGTACACACCGCTACGCTTTAGTTTAAAAACTGAGTTTTCGAACGAAATGTCCATCCACACTGGCGTTTTCACGTCGTTAAAAATATTTCCATACATCCAGAAACTTATACCCTACACTGGGCATGCGCACATCGACATATTGCTCAGATCTGATGTAGTGTGACCAGGTGACCAATCAGTTGAGAGGGTGTAACTAGAGGGATCAAATCAGGGATGAACCATAAGATGAGTAGGGACCAATTAGGGCACTGTAGAGTCTCTGTTTTCACTCATCCACACTGCAACTCTAGAACGGAGGGTGTTTCTCAATACCAAGAACGGAAAGATCATACATGTGGTTTTGTCAGGACTATTCTTGCTAACGTGCCTCCTATGAACAAACTTGGGGTGCAGTGAATCATGTGATTGGCCTCGTTTGGCGAGGTTGCCACCGATGTATCCTTGAAAGGGCAAGAATAAAAGATTTTTACCATTCTCTGTATTTCTGTTCTTAGTATCAGAAGCGGTCTTTGGCAATGGGGGATGACATAAAATGGGTGAATGAGAACACAAGTACGGCCAAGTACACATATTAAGAAACAGGCAGACTATGAGAGCATTTACATAAGTCTCTGTTCATGGAGGATTGAATAACCAGGGTAGTATGGACGAAAGGTGAAAATGAAGACTTTCTGTGTTTTAACACCAAAATGTCCAGTGTGAACATACTAGTAGAGGGACCAGTAGTGCAGCTAAAACCACCCCCGCCTATTCTGACCATGAACAGGGAGACCAGAGGAGGAGAGCCCTTGTAGGGGATTCCTGACAGTCATCGCCAGTGATCACAACCCTCACACCCATGCTAGCTCCGCCTCACTGTAGGAGATCTCAGATGGCAGTGAGTTAAGTTGCAGTGGCCTCTCTGGGTTCAACACTTTTGTGCAAAAGTGTGGTTTCAGTTGACTTTCACACAAAATATTTAGTTCTGTCCTGCATGCACTAGTGTTGTTTCTATTTTTGTTCTTTATGTTGCACCATAGTCCTGGAGGAACAAGGTTTGTTTCACTCTGTACACTGTATTGTGTACATGGCTGAAATAACAATAAACCTACTCGAATTGACTTGGTTTCTGAGCGCGACCTAATGTCACTCTAGCTAAGCTAGCTGACATGCTAGCCAAAGTGTCAGCTAACATACTGATAGCTGGAAAGACACACAAGTTGTATGTAACACAGCTTGTATGCTTGGTGATATTTGATGAGCTCTGACATGTTTGAAATTACCTACCCCTGCCAGAAAAAAGCAACTTATTTTATGCGGGCTTCCTTTCTGTAGCTAGCTAGTTCCACAATCACAAGTTAATTTGTATGTATTAGACCCATTGAAAGGAGGGGATGAACACTGAAAAAGGAAATGTTGAATATGGGGGCAGGGCCATAGTGTGACATTATGATAACTGGTTAACGGATAGGAAGCAGCGAGTAGTTATAAGAGGCTCAATGTCACAGTGGGCCTGCGTTCATAGTGGGGTACCGCAGGGTTCAATTTTAGGACCACTATTGTTCCTAATTTACATAAATGACATAGACACCAATATATACAGTAAACTGGTGAAATTTGCAGATGACACCAAGGTGGGTGGTGTAGCAGATACTGAACTAGCGGCTCAGCAGCTACAGCGGGATCTTAATTTAATTAGTGACTGGGCTGACACCTGGCAGATGAAATTTAACATAGACAAATGTAAGGTACTCCATGTAGGGAGCAGAAATATAAAGTACAGGTAATTTATGGGACCTACTGAAATAAAGGTAGCTGATTATGAGAAAGACCTTGGTGTGTATGTTGATGCTTCCATGTCTCATTCTCGCCAGTGCGGGGAAGCAATAAAAAAGGCCAATAGGATGTTGGGGTATATCTCCAGGTTTGTGGAGTTTAAGTCAAGGGAGGTAATGCTAAGATTATACAATTCCTTGGTGAGACCTCACCTAGAATATTGTGTACAGGTTTGGTCACCATATCTTAAAAAGGACATAGCGGCCTTAGAAAAGGTGCAGCGTAGGGCCACAAGAATGATTCCTGGTCTTAGAGGAATGTCATATGAGGAAAGGTTATTTGAGCTAAATCTGTTCAGCCTCAAGCAAAGGAGACTGAGGGGGGACATGATCCAGGTCTATAAGATTCTAACAGGGTTGGATGCTGTTCAACCGAATAGTTACTTCAGCATTAGTTCAAATACAAGAACTCCTGGCCATAGGTGGAAATTAGCGGGAGAACATTTCAAACTGGATTTAAGGAAGCACTTCTTTACACAGCGTGTAGTCAGAGTATGGAATAGTCTTCCTGATAACGTAGTGCAAGCTGAATCCTTGGGTTCCTTTAAATCAGAGCTAGATAAGATTTTAACAACTCTGAGCTATTAGTTAAGCGAGCTCGATGGGCCGAATGGCCTCCTCTCGTTTGTATAGTTCTTATGTTCTTATGTTCTTATTATTTTCTGAACTGAGTATCTTGATGGCATTAGCTGGAAGGAATGCCTGGCTGCAGCAAAAAACTTGCTTGGTATTAGGTACGAATCAGATTTATTTATGTATTAAATGAAGATGCCAGAACACCATTCTGGATCGTTCTGGACTACTTTAACCTCTGCCTGTCAGTAGCCAGCAGGTACTGGCTTGCTTTTTGGGTGACTTGGGCTTCAAGGTCCTTGTTGACTTGCATTTTCCCTTTGGGCTTCTGGTTAGCTGGTTTCTGTGTTGGGGATTCATGATCCAGGACCAGTATTCTACAGTGTGTGTCTTGTACTGCTGGTGTCCCGTCTTTGGGGGATTTTTGTGTGTATTGGGTTTTGGGGTCTTGCCCCTTTTGTTTCCAGGTTCCTGGTTTGGATTTTCCAGTCCTCTGGAGGCTGTACATCAAGCCAGTGGCCTGAGTCTTTCTGGTTCCCTGTTTCCAGCTGTGTTGGGACTGTTGGTCTCAGGGACCGGGGGGCAGGAAATCTGGAATGATGGATGAGCAGCACTGCTTGTCCATGATGGCTAATATTTTATCCTGTATGCTTTGAGTTTGAGTTGTTACAAAAAGTGCCTTAATTCTTCATTCCATAGATTCAACAAGGTGCTTGAAACAATCGTCAGAGACTTTGGTCCATGTTGACATGACAGCATAACACAGCTACTGCAGATTTGTCGGCTGCACCTTCATGATGCGACTCTCCCGTTCCACCACATCCCATAGACACTCTATTGGATTGAGATCTGGTGACTGCGGAGTCCTTTTGAGTACAGTAACCTCATTGTCATGTTCAAAAAACCAGTCTGAGGTTATATGGGCTTTCTGACATAGCGTGTTATCCTCCTAGAAGTAGCCATTATAAACTGGGTACACTGTGGTCATAAAGGGAGGGACACGGTCAGCAACAATAGTGAGATAGGCTGTGGCATTTAAACAATGCTGGGTTAGTACAAAGTGGCCCAGATTGTGCCAAGATAATATCCCCCTCACCATTACACCACCAGCAGCCTGAAATAATACAAGGTATAGGATGGATCCATGCTTTCATGTTTGTGCCACGTTCTGACCCTATCATCTGTTTGCGCTTTTCCACTGCCACCAGGATCCAAGTTGAACCCAAACAGATGGTTTTCCTTTGTAAATTGAGAGCCGTACCCATGCTAACTAGCAGGGCTGAAAGTGTGACTATACCAAGTTGGTTGCATCACCACCATCTGACTGGTTGAAATGCAAGAGACGAGAGAACTGGTGATCTGTGTCAATATGCGTGCATACATAGTCTTGCATAACGTGATGTAGGTGATGCATTCCCGATAACTGTGTTTGTATTATTCATTTATGTGTCTTTATGTCTTTTACCCCTTGTCCTCAAAAGGTTCTTTTGCCTTTTGCCAGGCTGTCAATGTAAATAAGAAATTGTTAGTTTCTTGCCTGGGAAAATAAAGGTCAAATAAAATTAAATAAATGAATGAATGATTAAAATACAGAACTTGAAAGTTTCCAGCCTCCTGCGTGGAAAAGAACTACAGAATGGCTGAATGTAATGAATATGTAAATTAGCATATAGTAAACCAAGATGTACACCATGTGAACATTAAACAACTGTATCTTCGGTATTACGTCAGTGTCACTCTCCAAACCCAGAAATGCCTTTACTGAGCTAAATCTTCTGCAGTGGAAAACCAAAGTGAGCTGGAACTGCACTGCTTGGTTACCAGCTGTCACACATCTAGCGTGATACTCACGCTTTCAGACTCTCATGCTCATGCAAGAAATCTTATGGCAGATCTATATTATTCTAAAATTAGCTACATGAAATGCATTGGGGTAGTTTGCATACCCTACAGTCTATTTACAAAATAATTAAACTGATACATACATATAAATGCATGTGCATGTGTGTGCAGATTTGACTTGAATTGAAAATTTCACTCCAGCTGGCTTACCAGAGTTGTCAACACTAGCGCTGTAAAAGCTGATATGTACTTCCTCATTCCCACACCTTAAGTATGACATAGCTGTGGACCCTACGCCATAGCCTGACATGCACTTCCCCAGAAAGGTAACTACACGTTGTGGCGATGCAGAGTATAGGGACTGTGATTGGTCTGCATGGTAGCATTTTTAAAAAATTTTTATGGGAGTGCATCCCTGGTGTACTTAAATAGCTGATTTCCTTTTCACACAGCATTAAATAACCAAGCCTAGAGATAGGTCTGCAATTTTGCTTACCTCCATTAAGTATATTTGTATTTTACAAGATTAAAAAAAAAGTAAAAAAAAAAATAATATTACTACTATTTTAATAATACTAATTTTAGAAGGGAAAATGCATAAAAAGTGACTTTGTAGAGGCTCAACTTTTTTCCAGATTTACAAATGTAACAAAAACGGATACTTTGTTTTTCTGTTTTCATATGCTGAGCGACACAGACATACCAACGTGCAAGTATAAATACTCACAATGGTGTAGGTATGACAGACGTATAAATCAGCCTTAACTAATGTCTTTGCGGTACGGGTACAACCTGGTTCCTGTATGATGGTCGAAAAGCGCCATAAATGCTGCGGTAGTAATTGAGACTCTCCTGACCAGCTAACGTTTTTCCAATCTTCCATTGTCCAATTTAGGTGAGCCTGTGCCCACTGTACAGTGCATCCGGAAAGTATTCATAGCGCTTCACTTTTTCCACATTTTGTTATGTTACAACCTTATTCCAAAATGAGTTAAATTCATTTTTTACCTCAAAATTCTACACACAATACCCCGTAATGACAAAGTGAAAAAAGTTTGCTTGAAATTTGTGCAAATTTATTAAAAATAAAGAATATACATAAGTATTCACAGCTTTTGCCATGACGCTCGAAATTGAGCTCAGGTGCATCCTGTTTCCATTCATCATCCTTCAGTGGACTGGGGTCCACCTGTGGTAAATTCAGGTAATTGGATACGTTTTGGAAAGTCACACATCTGTCTATATAAGTTCCCATAGTTGACTGTGCCTGTCAGAGCACAATCCAATCCTTGAAGTCCAAGCTATTGTCTGAGACAGGATTGTATCGAGACACGGATCTCGGGAAGGGTACCGAAAAATTTCATGTCCGCCACTCAGACGTCGGCCTGCGTATCTGGAGCTGAATTGGCATTCACCCACTGCTTGACATAGTTGGTGCGCGAATGCTGTGGCACACTAATGACAACGTCCTCTATATCTTCCTTGTTGCTGAAGTCAGACTGTACAGGGCTACTGCATTCCGACTCCAGGAATCCACTGTCAATAGTATCCAGGTCCAGCACAACGTTGGGGTAGCCATCCTCTGAACGCTCAGCGGAGCTGAAGGAGTCCAGCGAGAGCTGCTCAACCTCATTGCCACTAGAGGCCAGATTCCATGGCAAACTGAAGAGCCTCAGCTGGCCAGACAATTCTGTGGAGATCCTCCTGCCACCTGATGTGTGACCACTGGAGATTGCTGCTCTTTGTGTGGCCTCCACGGTCAGCTGGTCCTCATCTTCCTTGCTGGGGTTTTCCTCCAGTCTGAACGCTGGATAGGGGCAACTGCCACGATAGGGATCCCAGCCGCTTTCCTCTCCGATCACCGTGACCGTGTTGATGGAGAGTAGCCCGCTGGAGATTAGCGTGTCCTGGCTCCTGTTGCTTCCCTCTAGGAGGTTCTGCTGGGAGGAGCTCTGGGCTAGAATGTTTGCGGCAAAGCCGCTGCTTGAGCACTTCCCTCCCCTGCCGCACCTGCTACTGCTCTCCTCGGTCTCCTTCTCACACTTCACGGTGGAGCACAGCTGCTTCCCGCTCACCACCTCCATGTTCTTCTCCATGAAGTCGAACTCACCGAAGACAAATGTGGGGCCTACCCATTTCTGCAATTACAATCACATAGACATCACTATGAGTAATAAGGATTGGGCATCAGTCAAGTTCAATGCACAGTTACAGTACAGTAAATACACACTTCACTCCACATTTTCTTGGGACAAATTTTTGCACTTTCAGTGCAGTTAAGCTGAGCCTAACTACACTGATACCCAAGTTGGTTCCTTGACAGCTATATGCATTATCTGCCTCATTTGTGCATCACTTTGGACTAGAGTGTTCATAAATGTAATGCATTTTAACAGAGTTACTTTCTACTGCATCTTCTTAACTATGGTCAGACACTATAGCATCAGGCAGGGTTCCCCAGTTCCGGTCCTGGGAAGCCAGAATCCAACACAGCTTGTAGATTTCCCTGCTCACCAGACACCAAAATCAGCTAATTACCAAGTTTAATAGTGTGGAAGAATGGTACTAGGGTGGGGTTGGGGAATTATGGGGTTAATGTTTAGTCTTAGGTATTAGGCAAGAAGATGCTGTTGCATTCCGGGACTATTGTTAGGTCATAGGCAAGAAGATGTCGTTACATTTCTCGGAATTGGGTAACCCTGGCATAGCGGCTAACGTCCGCATATTAAGTTGTTAACTTGAACTGCTAAATAAAAAAAAAATGAACCTAGCATTTGATATGGCACCCGGCGTTGGTCCTGTATGTGGGGGTTGTATTTTTGATCGGAAGGTTGAAATTGCATTGTTTGCAGAATGCTTTCACCATTGAACCCTTGGGTAAGGCTCTTAACCCCTATTACTACACCTTAAATTCCCTACTTTGATCTTCAGTATAAATGAGTTATATCTTCATAGTATAGACCGAGCGTGTTTGTATTCTGGCTCTAGAGTAAAACTTCCAGTGCTGAAGCAGCAGAACCATGGTATGATGTAAACACCATCTGATACCATCATATCTTAAAACATGAGGTTTCCTGTTTTATCCTGTCAATCTAGCTGTTCTTAAGAGTTAACTTTTAGGGTGCCAGTTCTATCAAATTTAATTAAAACTGAGACTGCACTACAGCAAAGTACCACCTGCATTCTCATTTAAATGCTTTTACATGGATTGTGAGCAAAATCAGTCTGTAGGGAAGCTGACAATTCACAGCAACCCTTTCGCACAGCATTGTGCAATGCTGGTCTTAAAGCACAAACACTAAACCTATAAATACACCATTTTCTTTCTAAAGACCCCATACACAAGTCTATTTATTTCAGACCTATCACTCGGATCACTTCTGTAAGAGGCAATAACGACACAAATGTGAGCCATGCAAGGTAATTTTAGATATAGGTCAGCCGCACAGACAAACCTGATATAATACGGACAGCTTTTAGATAGGAAATTGGTTAACAGGGCCTATATGAAGAAGAGGCTTGTTTTAATTTAAGCAAGCATAGCAGGTACGTACTTTATGTTGGTAGTCTTAGGTGAATGGCTCAATTAATACAACACAAGCATCTTAGCTTCAGTTGCAAAACAATTGCATAACAATTCTTCACATCGGCTAAATGGTGAAGACATCTGGTTGAACACATTTGTTCACACTTTGGTTTATTATTATTATCATCAACATCAATACTACAGCTGTGTTTATTATGGATTTTCACAATACAGGTCCTAAGTAAGCTAAATAAAGCAATAGCCTGTTGAAAAGAAACTGAATGGCATGAAAAAGGACCCTTGAAAGACCTTTTAAACAACTTCACGTGGTGTTTAATGATACATTCCCTGTGTAATATCTGGCTCTTTTAAATTCTTTGATGTAAAAAAACAAGTATTTCTGCAACCATGAACTGATAAAATGGAGCAGAAGCCTCCAAACAGATCGGTATGGAGGATACCGGCCTAATCATGCAAACAGGAAAAAGTTATTCTGTAGATGAAAGATAAAAGACGAAAAAAAGTTCTTTTCCTTGCCTGCCTTAGAGCTTTCACGTTTCACTACAAGTTCAACGACAAGTTCAATTTGAAACTTTCTCCCTGAGTTGCGTGGAACAGCTTGGTTTCACCATGAGTGGATCGATATTCACAACAAACAGCGACCTAAAGTGAAAATAAAGTACAAAAAAAGAACAGGCACTTTGCATTGTAAGATATGTGTAAGAACCACTAAAAATAAGGCAATCGAGCAGCAGTCCTCATATGTTAGTTTCCTGAGCCCACGGTACGTGCCATATACTGTACTGTATATTACATTTTGCTTAAGTGACGGTTTTCACATTAGCACTTAGCTTTAGACTAAGAAAAACTTAACACACGATGGGGTTATTGTAGCTCCTCTGTTTAACTGGCCGATTCAACCAACGGCTGATACACCAGTAAAACGTTTCACCTACTTGACATACGAACAAACGGCATGTGGTGGTAACACTGTGAGTGAACTAACCATGCTTATCTGATACACATTTACTTTGATGACTACTGTTTTTAAAACCCCATTCTGTATGTTACTGTTAACAGGATAAACCAGTAAACTGTTAAAAGAGGTAGAAGTATTTACTGTGACGTGCGAATGAAAGACTACAAGGATTGAATACAGGAATTTAAGAATGATGTAGAGATCCCAAGCCTTTAATTGGGGGAATACTTTGGGAAATTAATGAATGAGCACATAAACTTTATAGAGAGGCTTTTCTAAAGCTCTAAGGTTTTCAAAAGTTCACATCATTTTCTTTTCTGTAAGAAATGTAGGCCTACTTGTGGAATAAGCCTGTGAGACTATGCTGGGAACAGAGGGAACAGCAAAAATAGTGTCATAAACAATTGAGTAACACATCAGATCATCTTTTAGTTTTAATAAGCAGTGTCTGTCTGCTCAGAGTTTTGAACCTTCTTAGGAACTACCTGTTACATATGTGTACTAGTCTCTCACATCTCTTTATATGTTTCTTACCTGTGCTACAAACCAATAATAAATTTTAAATGTTTGTATGCGCTACAACTGTATCCTACGACTAGGTCGTTAAGCAAATCGGTCGATAAACGAGGAACCGCCCCTCACCGATATTTCAAGCATACTGTACTGGTACTGGGTTTGTGTCAAACATTTAGATATTGTTTTAATGTCACCTTTGTACCATTTATAACATTTTTAGTATTCATAAATGTTTATACAGTAGTGTACTGTATACTGTAATAGACAGTGCACTGTTAGCGCTATATGTTTTCTCTGTATGCGACAGGTGAAAAGCTATGAGTGAAACTGTATTAAACAAAACACAGAAAAGACTTCGGAGATCTCATATCTAGCACAGCAAAGTTACAACAAGATGGTCGATAAGTGCTAAAGTTAATCATCATCGGAATTACAAATCAATGATACGCTAACATATATAGGCATGTATCGCAAATTAGCACGGCTTATATTTTCCATATGTCAGTGTTTTGCCTCCATCTAGTGGTCACTCTTATGAAGTGACTGTATTTGGCAAATTTGCTTCATTCATTTCATCCAAAAATAAATCCCTGTACTGCACGACCGGCGGGAAGACGTAAAGACCGGGAAACTTTAGATGCTGTGTCTCCACAGCGCATAAACAAACCCACAACAAACGAGTTTTGTTAATAGTGAGATCAATGAATTACAGATTGAGATAAAAGTACAGTGAAACCACTTCTAGATGTACTGTATATTTAGTGCATACCGGTGGAACTGTTTCCAAATCACTTATAATGAATTTTCTTTGGAACATGTTTCATTATTCTTTTCCGAATATATCTGGATAAATATTATGTGACTTGGGAACCCTCACCAGAATAAGTGATTACATTTTCCATCCATCCATCGTATAATCTGAAATCCAAATGTTCATAGGCAATATCCAGTGTGATACCAGCGATGGGAACAAATCATTGTTTGGCGGGTCGTAGTCAAGTCTCAAGTTAAAACATTGCAGGCGGAGTCAAGTCTTGAGTCATTTGCCCTCAGTCCAAGTCAAGTCCAAGTCTTTCTTTTCATTTTTGCTGTCATGTCACAAGTCATCAAATTTGTGACTCAAGTCCAAGTCGAGTTGTGAGTCATGTAACTTGAGTCCCTACCTATGACAGTTTTTTTAACTTTAGTGATTAAACTGTGTTGCAGTAAAAACCAAAAGTAAGTTGTAGGATATGTTCTTTATAGGCAGAGAGTTGAAAAGAGAGTGCCACTCACGTTTGTCCTCGCACAGTTACATCTGTGTATATGCATTGAGTGATGCATTCTTTACAATCTAAACAATCAAGCAATCTCAGGAGACCTATCTCAGCTAAGTGAAAATGCAGGCTGAGGAGAATTAATATATACTGAAATTAGAAAATTAACGTTATGGTACCCAGAGGGGGATTATAACCTCAAGTCTTCTCAAGTCATAGGGTCCAAGTCGGGTCAAAGTCTTGAGTCATTTGCCCTCAAGTGCAAGTCGAGTCTAAGTTTTTCCATCTGTTTTGCCGAGTTGAGTCACAAGTCATCAAATTTGTGACTTGAGTGTGAGTTTAGTCGCAAGTCAGTGACTATGTAGCACTGCAAATTTTACAATTTTATATCCAAAAATTCTATGGTGTTATACTCAGTATGAAATTTTACCATATATTTCCATCCATCCATTTTTTATAGTCGCCTGTCTTATGCAGAGTCCAATGGTCCAGGGCCTCTCTGTGAAGCTAGGGGGGCAAGGTAGGGAATAACCCAGGACTGGGCACAAACTTATTGCCGAGCTCTGGCCCTGAATGTTTTCTCAAAGGCCCCGAATCTTTTAAAATGACTTGTGTCACTTCCCATCGATCTCTGACTGCATTGGCAAATCAATGGAACAAAAGTTCTACTACTGGGGAAATATCGCCATCTATAGGTCCACCCTGACATTGCCATGGAGGGTTGTGTATGGTGTTCCCTTCAGTCATATCACCGCAGTGTGTAAGAGCAGTCATCCTTAGCCGCCATTTACAAATACGGCATCAGCTGTGACTGCATTAGCTGATTTCACTTTGTTTAAGCATAGACATATACAGCAGATGCTGCAACTATCATGTTATTCCCAATAAGATGTATAGATTTTTAGGCATTCAATTATCTCAAATGATTTGAAGCACATTGCATATTGCTGCCGCAAATGGGGAAAAGATCTCCCCAGGGGACCATAACCGCAAACAGCGGAGGTTTGGGCGAAGCCCCGAATGTTTGCAGTGTCCATAATCTGGTTCAGATTATCAAGGGCCCCTGAGTGACAGGGGGCCTTTTGTGGCAGGCCAATATGGTATGCTTTCATGGAGCCAAAATCTGTAGAGGCACCTATAATAAAAGGAAATGAAAGCATGTAGCTAATGTATATATAATTGTACTCAATATATTTCATAGTATAAATGTTGCATATATTTAAATTTAATATACCATATATTATTTACATTCCTGTTTACTATAACATCAATTCCTATATCATTGATAGTTCATTCATTACTTAGCTAGTTTATGCAAAATTTAATGGCTGTCATGGGCATTCGAAATATGAAAATAAATTTAAAAACTGCCGATCAAATAAAAAAACAACAAAAAAATTGTATTAAAATAAAAAATTGGGCAGCCCCTATTTCCCCCCATCCTCTTACCCTTTGGAATATTTCTGAAATAATCCCCCAAAATCATAAACATCTAAAAATAGTTGCCATGTACTGACGTTTAAACATCTGCACTCATGGTATTTTCCGTTTAGGTGTGAAGTGTTGTCACACTGTGGCGTCAGGGTCCTGCCCACAATTTCCCCTTCGCTTTGCGCGTGTATGTGCGTGTGAGAATCCCTGCAGCACAGCGAGTGCGGCGCTTACCGTGAAATCCCCGCCGTGCTTACGGTACAGGGGCTTGAAGAAATCCTCGGGGCTCGGGATGTAGCTGCACACACACACCTTCATCAGCCACACTCTTCTGGGGAGGGGGAGAGGGGAAGGGGCGGTAAATCGAGTTTGCCTTTTCATTTTTAAGTGACTCTCCTGCGGGGAGGAGGGTAGGCAATCCAGTAGAAAAATGAGTAGAAACTGTCGCTAAAGTCGAAAAATACACAAATCAAAGGTTTTAGTTGAGCGCAGGGGCTGTTCCTTCCTCTGCCCCACTGCACACCTACTCACAAAGTACATCACATAGGTAACTTACGTCCCTTTAAACATGTGAAGCCCCACTGGCTGTAGACTACATTTATATTAGTTTCGCAGATAGTCAAGAATAGACTGAGGCGGATCTGGGTCAGTGCAGGTACCTTGAGATAAAACATGAGCCGGCTGCCCTAAGTTAGAGCTAGTATTTTGTTTGTTTGTTTTTTAGAATTATAGCGATCCAGATGAGGAGCGATGTATTGATGTGGCGTTTAATTATATTTTTGTGTTACACAATATATTTTGAGTGCAACCGCAAGGTGCCACATTACCAAAGTAACACGTGATTTAATCAATATAGTGTCCTCTAGGTACTTTGTGTCATCATAATGAGGTACTCCCGATTCATACCTCACTGAAGAAAAGCACCATTTCAAATTTCAAGTTTCATTGTTTACGTGTTTGTAGGAACACAGAGAAATTTGTATACCATGGTTGCAGGGTGCACTGGCTATTGGACAAATAGCAATACAATAATAAATCAAAGTGGAATCTATGCACGGAACCCTTTAAAATCCAGGCTACCTCCACAGATATACATAAACAGGCTAATGGATATCTCTCTATTTCGGTAGCTAGCCTGAGAGGAAAATGAGCGTGCAGCACACTTGCTGCAATGAAGTTGAAGTCTTCAAGTTTCAGACATAACAAGTGCCGACAGCGGATAGCTTCCTGCACTTCTTGTGTTTTGGGTGCCTGTTGCATGTCGGATTTTCGCTGTGGCGCCGCGAGAAACGATTCGCAGTGCTAGTGGTTTGCGAACGTAGGAGGTAAAGCAAGAGGGGATCAAAAACATCAGACGCACTGATCTAGTTTACAGTCATAAAGATATAGAAACTTGTCTGCCTGTCACTTAAAAATTACACAATTTGTTTTCTAAAGTGTGTTCATTTAAAAGTTTTAAAGTAGTCAAATGTCAATAAAGACTAAAAATGGGCAATGCTTGTGTTATTGTAACAGGGTCAGTTGGTTCGGCGTGAGATTTTCTGGAGTGTGGAGACAAGTCTGCACTCACATTTACATCGGCCTACATGTAAGAGTTTTATTACCTTGTAAATAGTCCACAGGGTTTGCTAACTGCCCCAAAGCTTTTGATCTAGCTAATTTTAGGTTTATTATGGAATGATATTGATTTGCCGTAAGATTTCTTGTGTGAGGTGAGAGTATGAAAACGTGAGCCTCCAGTTGCACGAGAGCCGGCAGTCCTGCTGTAAGGCTTGAAATCTAGGACTAACATGTTCCGTTATTTACACTCCCCTGTAGAGACACTATTACAGGTAATAGTGAAAGAGAGGTCCTACCGCTCTTTATAGATCGTACATAGGGTTTGGGTTCTATTGGAATTATATCAAACGCTGATGCTTACTTTCGTCCCAAGTAGCAGATGCAGGCGCAGGCCACCAAAAGCAGCGGCGTGAAAAGATGCATCCAGTTCTGGTATATTCTGTCATCTGGTTTCTTACCTGGAAACACACAGGAACACGCACAAACACACACGAGCATTGAATTACACCATCCCAGGTATGCATATAACTGAAAGATCTGTTTGTATACAATAATCATTATTGTTAGTTTAAGCAATCTTTATGAATTATATATATTTATTATACATATATAAATATATAATTTGATATTTATGTGTGTATATAAAGATGAATACATTGAAGTTATTGAGTAGAATTTGGTATGAGCAAAACTTACAGTGTAGTTGAAGTGTTTGACTGAATTCACTCCAGTAATTCAGAAATTTTTCCTCAAAAAGTCGGCTTGGCTTGGCTTGAACATCCACCATAAACTTTTTGCCTCCTTGTAAGTTACTGCAGGAGATCTGCATGTACCGCTGGTCTTCAATTAAAGTGTAATATATAGGATCCTAATGAGAAAACCAATGTAAGAATCTTTTGATTGTGAACATAGTTATAACTGGTTAGATTTATGTTAGCATTAACAAAGTTAATTACACTTTGAGGAAGTAGTAGTAATTTTCATGGTCTACTTGATTAAATGTTTATTATTAAAAAGTGGATAGTGGACATACTACGTAGTTTTCATTACCTTGCTAGAACCATCTTCTGGCCTTAGCCTGATTCTGTACATCAGCATATTATTCAAGTAAATGTTCTTGTCCTCTGTGTAGACCATTTCCCATGAGATGTTGAAGTTACTGCCATTTTCCCGCAGCAACACATTGAAAGGTGGCTGCGGCTTCACTGTGAAGGCCAGATTGGGAATGTGAATGATCACGCATGTTTCCAACTGGGAAGGTACTGCACTACAGGAAAATGTACGTTTGGTAGAACTAATGCCAGTTACACACTGAGCTAATGGAACACAAATAATCCTACACTTTTTAACATCTACAGAATTACTTGAAAGTCAATAAGGAAAAAAATCACAATAACAACAATAATAATAGTAAGATCATCATCATCATCATCATCATCATCATCATCATCAATACAATTCATTTATGGATTAGAGTTCAATTTGTCATAAAACGTCTTTGTGTTTTATATTTGCAATAGCGACATCGTGCCATTAAAGGTTTGCACTCACCATGACTGGCGAGTACAAGGTACACTGAGCTATTCAGGCTTGTTGTCCACTCGTCTGCAGGTGTTCCCCACACTTTGCATTCTGTGTCCGATCCGATGTTGAATTCATAGTCCAGTTCTAGTATGCACCAGGGTCTGGGGGATGTGATCTCACAGCTCGCGTTCACGGTGTCCAAATCATCCCTTTTGAAAGCGGGTGAAGAACGACAATGCCTTGAACAGGACGTCTATTATGAGTCGCCTCATTATGAGAACCATTTTCCTTACCACTTCTGTTTTTTTGGCAGCACGATAAGCGACCGCAATCATTCTGAGGTCATGTTGATCGCATGGCGGATGATTGTGTGTTTTTACTGATATATTGAAAAGGTATGGAAGAAGAATGGCACGTCTGCAGATGCAATCGTGCTGTTAGACAAGCAGCCTGAGTCACTGTCACAGCAAGCTCTCCAGACTTCTGCAAAATGTTTTTTTAAGCCATAGAATGAAAGCCCTTCTTTATGAATCACATAGCCCATGATGAGGAACAGGAAACATGGCCTCCAATTAAAAACACAGTGCAGAAATTGCAGTTTCACTGTTAAAAATGTATGCTGGAGTGGCATCTCAACGCATTAATATCGAAATATTACAGGTGCAATTATTAAACAAAAAATATTGTGATAATTAAATGTGATACAATGAATGAGCAATCAGCATAAATGTTTTGTATATTTTGATTGAAAATTCTCCTCTCGTCTTTTGGGAAGCTTTTGTAAAGAAAATTGGGAAGTCTTTAAACACACTTCACTTTTCTGAAAGGTCAAAATGGCCTAAGACAATATAAGTCATTCTTTCGGTTCCATGGCAGACAGGTGACCTTTTTAGAGGAATGTTTGCCTCTTTGGACCCTTGGAAACAAAGGAACAGCGCAAATGGAAAAATACTTACCAGCAATGAGCCTCAATGTAGTAAGAGATGTCAGAGGGCAAATGTCCTGTGCAGGAACAGTTCAGGGAAGAGATGAAGTCAGTGCTGCAGGACAGCTGACAACCCCATGTAGCTGCAAAACAACAGTCCGGGGTTATGGAAATATCTATTGCTTTGGCAGTTCCTTAAGTATTTGCGATGATGTCATAGTTGCTCAATAAGTAGCAATGTAGCCTCTTTTCTCCATGTCATTAATGTGTTTCCTACAGGTACTCGGGTTTCCTCCCACAGTCCAAAGACATGCAGTTAGGATCATTTGCATCTGTAAATTGCCCAAAATATGTGTACATGATTACATGGGCGTAGCTAGGAATGCTGGGTCTCCTGACTAAATGCCACCTTGGATATATATCTTGGATATATACATATCTATCCATTTTCTGAAACCACTTGTCCTATTCAGGGTTGCAGGAGATCCAGAACCTATGGACACAAGGCAGGGAACAATCCAGGATGGGGTACTAACCCATCACTGCATCACTGGGCACACTCACAGACCAGTTGCTCATACATGCAACTCCAATTAGCCTCAGCATATTTTTGGACGGGGGGGGGGGGGGGGTTGAGGGGGGAACCAGAGAAAAGTCCATGATGACATGGGAAGATCATGCAAACACATGTAATCCAAGCGGAGACTCGAACCCTGGTCCAAGAGGTGTGAGGCAACAGTGCTATCCACGGCACCACCATGCCATTTTTCAGGCGACCCACTAGAGTGCTGAGCCCCCTCAATCTGCCAGGGTATCCATGCCCCTCTTACACCTCTGCATCTATGTATATACCCACATGCCCTGTCATCCCAGCCAGGACGTCCTCTATGTTGTACCCTACACTGCCTGAGATAGATTCCAATCTTACCCCAACCCTGCAGTAGACAGGCAGCTGTGAACATAAATCTGTGAACTTTCCATTTCAAATATATGTTAAGAATGAATTAACTTCAGAATAGAAACCATAGATATATTGACATAGATACCATAGATATATTTTCTATTGATATAGAAAACCAAAACAAAATAATGACATTGGCCTAGTTAGAAAGCTTATATGTGCCCAACCAGTATGATTAGCAATGGAAAAAAACGGTAACTGGAAAACTTACTGAGCAGAATTGAGCCGCAGAGTGTGAGAAAAATCGTCCGAACTCGCGCTCCCATTGTGATGCACGTGCCGCACGAACGAGGAGGACCATTCAATATTTCCTTGTGGTCATCATTGACAGCACCAGCAACCCTTTTGACAATGAAAGAAAGAAATTATATATATATATAATGAACTATATATTTTGTTTGTTCATATTCACTTTTGGCAGCTTTCTTTCTCATTTTATTTTTTAAAAGCATTGTTGTATTATATTGTAACCTACACCTGGCGAAATGGGCTTTTTACTCTCATTGCACGAAAACAAAGATAATTCCGTTTTTTCCCCCTCATTTACATAAATAACTAACCTTCTGCCAACCTTACGCTTGCCTTTCTTCTGTTTTTAAACCAGCAAAACAGACCAAGACCCGACAGAAAAAGAGGAAATCATAATCCTATCATCTTTGCTGTTCATAGTTCAGAGAACAACAACAAATAAAAATAGCATAGTTCCGAGAAGTAAGAAAAGTCATAGTCAAAGATATATATATATATATGTATTTTTATAAAACGTAATATTCATTTATGTTCATTCGTATACCTTTGATAGACAGCAGCAATGCAGTTATAAGACAGGGTAACCGAAGTTGTTTTGATTCGGAGTTTTAAAATCCATGAACATTAACGGATCACTAGCAGTTTTATATCCATTAAAGATCTCCTAAGGTTAGCAATTAAGTATGTTCGTTTTTAGCATGCTTATATAACTTCAGTTCATCCAATATGCCTATGTACTAGTGCTTACTAGTACTATTTTGTTATATTGAATTAAAAGCTTTAGGTTGTGTGTAAACAGACTTAGCTTGAGTTTCAGAATTCAATATTAACATTAGTTTCATTATTAACGCTACACTTGTGAATGCAATGATTCAGAGGCAGATTCATATAAGCATATACTTATGTGTTCTCTGTGGTATATAGGATGCATGCCTTGAAATTTTAAAAAAATTCCTCTGAGTCAACACTGAACTAATTGTCGCTTACATGATGCCTTGGTTCAGCGAGCCAGATATAGACATGCTTCACAAAAAGTCTTATCAACATGCTCTTAACAATCTCAGTGATTTTCACTCAATTTCTATCCAAGTAGAATAGATATCACAAGTAAATATATATTTTTCCACAACTGGGGAATTCCAGATGGGGAATTGAAACATTCCATTTATTTATGAGGATTAAAACGGAGAGATTTCCAAGCATTATTTCTAAAACAATAAATTATTAAAATTACTCAACATAATTGTTATTACCGAAAAAATAATTAAAAAACCAAGAAAGACTTGTTGAGTTCAGCCTGGAAGCTTAACAGAAATGCAATTCAAATTCACAAGAAAACAAGTAACAACTGTTCAACGATAACGCAGTGTAGTGTACTTACCTATTCTACAGCGGATATAAATCAGAAAAGAAATTGCTTTCATCGGTATCAGTTTGGAGTTTGCTCCAGGCTTAATTGAGAGACTGGGTCATTTTTCGACAGTTCTTTGGTGTTTCTCGACTGAATCTGGTAGCGTTCCCTTAATGGTGTCAATATGCTTCAGCGCAGCGTCATCGGTGAGGATGTGGTTACCGCTTATCACACATGACCAGAGCGGCACAAACTCTGCACTGCCTTCTGCTTCTCTTAAAGAATCCACCTTTCATATCTGCGAAATCGGGGGATGGGGTAGGTGGAGACACTTCTTGCTTTGAAAGGTCAAGTGAACTAAAGTAAAGGGCATGCTTTCAGAGGCAAGTTTCTAGTTCAATAAATTCAATTAAAGTGAAAAGACATTTTGAGTGGCCAACTTAAACGCAACAGTTGTTGGTGTCTGTTCCTGGGTATCTACTTAACAAATAACCATCAAATGCAATACTATTCACAGTAGAAAGCAAGGAAATCTCCAATTAAAGGTAATACCTTGGAAAAGAGTTTCAATGGGCTGACGTATCATTTTAGGGCGGAAACTGTTAGGCTGCTCATTTTAGCCACAGTTTGCTAGAAGTGTTTCAGGAAAAACATTTTCTGTGTTTGAACTGGGTTACTGAAGATAATAGATTACTATTAGGTCTGACGTGAAAACCATTTCAATCACATCCACCAAGAGATGCTGAGGTCTTGATGTCAAGGGACTCAGTGAGTGGCGTGGTTGCTTGACCTAATTTACTTAAAGTGTTTGCATGAGGTTCTAAGATACAGCAGTTATGCCATATCTGAGGCCAGAGTGTTCAGGTTCAGTGTTCAGGTTGTTAGCCATTCTCCTGCAGTCCTTTTGACAAAATGTTAACTTCATATCAGCTTCCCGAAGAATCTGGGGTCTACAGTGCACAAATATACAGGGTGTCCATAAAGCCTCTTTACAATTTCAAAAATGTATTACAAAGGCAATTGATGCGATATCCTCATCAGATTTGTTCTATGTACTGAGTGGTTATCAAAGTTTTTAATTATATCGCAAACAAGGGTACAGGACATCACTAATCTAAAGCAGAGGATCACTGATGCCATTGCCACCATTGATGAGGGTATGCTACAGGAAACATGGCAAGGAATCGAGTACCGTCTTGATGTGCTTCGTGCAAAGAATTTCCCCATTGTGGGATTAATAAAGTCTAATCTAATCTAATCTAATCTAATCTAATCTAATCTAATCTAATCTAATCTAATCTAATCTAATCAACCAATGGTGCCCATATAGAGGTGTATTAAATGGGGCAAAAAAAACTTAAATATCTACGACTCATTTTGTAATAATTTCCACGTATCTGTCTTTTTATTTGCCTTTGTAATAAATTTTTGAAATTGTAAAAAGACTTTATGGACACCCTGTACATTTATTTAGAGTACCCTTTTATCCAGAGCAACATGAAATTAAGAAGACAGAGTCGGCTAGTTCCTGGAGCAATTAGGGTTAAGGGCTTTGCACAAAGGCCAAATGGTGAAATCACTCTACCAATGCCAGGATTTGAACCGATGATCTTCTGATCATAAGCACTTAGTCATAACTCACACACTACCCACATTTTTTAAGGCTAGCCAGATACCCATAGATTAAAAAGCATTAAAAACTACGCAAAAGCATTAAATTGATCTTTAAAAATGGGCTTAAGTGGTATTACAATGATTTAAATCCATCTCTTAAGGACCTTAAAATTGACACAAAAATGGAAAATAACGATTTAAGTCTTCATAAATGGGATGATGTTGGTATTATTTTATTTGTCTGCATCACACATAATGCAATGAGCGGAACCAACAGAAATAATTTATGTTTGTCAGGGAGGGAGGGACACTAGCTTCAGGTAATTAACACACTGCCCTGAGCTAGCCTGTAAGTGACATTTTCACATTTGACATTTGACATTGGTTCAGAGAGATAACCAATCAGGTTGTAGAGGAGGTGGCTCCAAGCAACTAGAGGAGGCAGAACCAAAACATCTGAGTGGTTGGTCCTGCCTCCTCTAGTTGCTTGGGCCCACCTTTTCTACAGTTTGATTTCTGCTGTGTTCAATGAAATATTCCAGATAAATATTGTGATTCTGCATAAATTGCAATAAAATACTTGCACTTGTAATGTGATAATGAAAGCACTGTTAACACAGCAGGAGATAATGTCTCACACCTTTTAATTTAAGGTCCTCAGTAGAAGGCATCCTTATTTGTCGCTATTTTAAGTCACATGAATAGAAACACAGCTGTGATGTTTTCAAGAGATCAAAAGAATTTACTGTCATCTGTGCAGTAAACTGTCAGTTACACTAAGCAATGAAAATGTTACTCCTGACCACGGGTAAACACAAACTGAACACAAAACAAATACAAATCGAGGTGCTTACAATAAGACAATAAATATGAGTACAAATATGAAAAAATATGTAAACAATGTGCAATGTAATTATATGAATAAATAAACAAGTCAAATGAAAGTTTATGTCTGAAATGCACACAACTGTAAATGCAGACATTGAAATGAACTAAAACAGTGGTTGTTCCTGGATGGCCTTTTGGTTGATAGCCAAACATGTTAATCAATAACACCACAAAGACAATGTGCAATGCTGCAAACACTGTAAGCAGTCCTATGTAGCAGATTTAGTGCAACAGACAGAAGGGTGTGCAAATGACCAAGCTGTTCTGCACTACTGTCCATTGTGTGTGTGTGTGTGTGTGTGTGTGTGTGTGTGTGGGGGGGGGGATTATGCAGGCCGCATTGGTTGGAGGTTGATTGTGTCAACAGAACAGTGGTGTTGGGGCAGGGGCTGTGGGTGAGAGTCACTCAGGAGCCTGATGGCTTATGGGTAGATAATGTTCTGCAGGCTTGTGTTCTTTGATCATACACTCCTGTGTCGTACCACCACTCTTGCCTGATGGTAGGAGTATGTGTTAACTGTGCGTTTCTGTTCAAAGAATATCTGTTTATTATATGCGGTACTTTTCTACCTTGCCCTGCCTTACATTTTGTTCTCCTGATCCATACAGTCTTATGTAATCACAAAGCTGGGCTTGATAATCTTCTAGCATTCTATTGAAAGTTGTGAAACTTGTGTCAATTGAGTGACAAATTCTGTTTGGATGACACATAGCTTCTGAGAGGTGGTGCTGTGGAGTTTTTGGTTAAAGTAACTGTCTAGTAAACAGGAGATCTTGGATTCAAATCCCAACTTGGTGTCTACAAATTCCATTTAACACTTGCTGTGGTATTCTATATTGACAGTGAATTTGATTTCATTTTGCCAAATTAGATACAATGGCTCCATAAATCACTAGTCTGCCTGGCAATATGTAGGAAATCCCCTTTACACTTGGGTGCTACCTGAGCCTATTCAGTCTAAGTGCAAGTTACAAGGCCTGCTCACACCATACTGAATATAATTTCATTTTCTTAATGTATGTTGCTGTCCTGTGTAAATTCTTGTTAATTTCATTGGGATAGCGGGGGAGGTTACATAAAAATGAATTGGAAATGTGACTCTAATATTAAACTTGTCAGGAACTCTCAAAATATTTGGGAGGAAAAATGCTCAATTTTGGCCCACTTAAAAACCCTCTGTGGGTTCCAGGAAATGAAATGCAGACACAAACCACTGACGCAGCCCATACACAATAAAGACAAATAATCTTCCAGCAAATAATTGCAAATATATGCAAGTCATTATATCATGTACGTATGGACGATTTTTTAAATCTATACTATAGATTTCGTACATGTCAGTTTTTTTTTATCGCTGTAACTCACAATAGTGAAAGCGTCATAACTATTTAACAAAATTAAGCACGGAACGTATTATTTGCAACACCAAGCAATGTAACGACGTAACTTACCACTAAACTGGAAACGCTAAAAAACTACACGATAAAAAAAATCACGTTTTTAGTTTATTTTGTACATTAATAAACAAACATAAAACGATCCATTTATAAGACGCATAAGACTTTACAAACGTTTGCACTTATAGGAACCTATTTTTTGACTGCGCAGTTTCATTCCGGTCATATTTCCCGCCCTCATCTACGTGTCGCGGAAGTAAATGTCAAATATGGTGCTCTGGACTATACTGATACAGCGATAGGATAAATATACTTCTAGGTAAAATGTACTGCACATCAGCTTGTTAGACACCGTAGGTCTGATCGAAATCTCATTTTGTTCTCTTGAGTCGTTTGCATATTCATTTCAGCTAATGGAGAACAAGTGCAGTATCAGTTGAATTGCGAACATCCTGTACAACATCTTGCTACTGCTAAAACAGGTAAAGGTGCGTTTCATGAAAATCGTACCTGTTGGACCAGTTCAGTAATGGTGACTGACTAGGCAGTTCGTTGCTGTCCGTCGTAAAAAAAGTCGCAAGTGACATGAACCATTCACGGAAATTTGTTCCACATAGTCACCTGGCAATTTCCATGCGTGGGCATCATTGTATCTTTTTAGAATTAAGGAAAGTGCTGTGAGTTTGCAGGTGATAAGTAAAGCTTTTTTCCCTTCCAAGATAAAGCGTATAAGGAATGGTGACTTCAGTGTTCAACTGAGGTGAATCATCAAAGAGGAAGAACGATGGACTTTTCTAAGTTCTTGGATGATGACTTTGACGTGAAAGACTGGGTCAATGGGGCCTTTAAGATGGTCCAGAAAGATGCTCCTGGAAAGGCGGACGGTCATGCTGCCACACTTGTTATGAAGCTTCAGCTTTTCATTCAGGAGGTCAATAATTCCATTGAAGGTACACACAAGAAAATGTGTTGTGCTGCTTTTGTGTGTGTGTGTGTGCGCGCTCTGTGATGCACTGGCATCCCGTCCAAGGTGTTCACCTGCCTAACGTCCTGTGCTGCCTGGGAATCGGCTCCAGGCTGCTTACAAACCTTTATCTGGAAGCTTGCTTGGAAGATGAATGTGTAAACGTACTTTAATTTAAAAAATATAATTTAAAGGCATTAAATTATGAATGCCTCTAAGGGGGCGTCTCTTTGAACTTTCTGCCATTTTCAGAGCCTTGTAGGAAGTACTTAAGTTACAGCTGATCTGATTACATGTTTGAATT